TTTATCATTATTTGAGTAAAGTTATTTTAAATTCTTTTTTAATGTATATTCTAATCCTGCCCCCATCCAACAATTCAATTTAAATTACCTATGATTTTTGTAAACATTGAAACACATTGAAAACATGTTGATCAACATAGTCACTCACACTTAAATATTATTTAAACTTTATTTTAGTTTCAATCTAATGAAAAGGCTCGTTAAGGTAAATTAACAATTAACCGTGTTGAAAGACTAAGTCATATAATTGCGCTGTAAAAGAATCTGAGAAATCGAGTAATTTTGCTTCTTCTATTTGGCAACCTTCATTATATAATATAAACTGTTTTTTATCGTACATTGTTCTTATTTCTACTTTTTAAACGTGAAATACATACTTATGTATGTATGTATGTACCTACATATTATGTAGTTTGTAGATTATAATATATACATATATGTAAGTATATTCATATACTATGAATAATAGCACAATAATTTTTTCTTTTAACATTTTAAAATTCTAATGCAAAAAACAATGCAAAAAAAAGTACAAATTTGAAAACGTATGCAACTTCTCCTCTATTTACGATACACTCTGTTAAATTCAAGTGAATAAATTAATATTTTTTTTATGAAAATTTTATTCTAAATCAAATTTTCTTTTTTTACAGAGAAAAATTTTTTATCAAACTTTACCTTTTTTTTTTTTTTGATTTTATTTGATAAGATATTAAAAATATTTCTATTCATTTAGGATGTACACATTTATGTTTAACATAATTTCCAACTTTTTTTTGCAAAATTTTTTTGATAGCTTATTTCATTCTTATTTTATAAAGTATAAAATAATGGAAAAATTTCAATTTGGAGAGGTGGTAACTAAAAATACAATCATTAAAATTTTATTTTTGAATTTTCGAGAGGTCGCTACATACTTCATTTCCATTCATATAAGTATGTAATTCTTTAAAATAGTCAATGACTCAGATAAAAATATCAAATATGTATTAAATTAAAAAAAAAATTATATCAAAAATTCATGGATTTTTTTTTACAAAATGTTATTAAAACCATTTTGTATAATTATACCGGTCTTTTAAGTAAATATGACACATATTTATGTATACTATAGGTAAATATTAAAATATAATAAAAAGTTTGTATGTATGCACAATTAGAACAAATTTTATCGAATATAAAAAACTGAATTATATTATGCTTTCACAGAATAAAAATTCTTAATATAAAACTAAAAATAATTAAATATATCTTACCTTCGTGTTACAATTTGGAATATCACAATTAATATACAAATATATTATATATATTTTTTTTCAATAAATTATACGCACACAATTTGATTAAAACACAAAAAATATTCTTAAAGACAATTGGGAAAATAATTGTATTAAAAAATATATTTCTCAAAAGCGAACTAACTGGAGACTTGGAGAGCCACCACAAAGCCTTTTTTTTCATTATTTTTTTTCTTTTTTTTTTAATATAATTGACATATCATTTTGACAATTTATCGAAATATGTCAAAATAAATGAGAACGTTCAGAATTTTCCATTATTACACACTACAAATTATATTATAGCAAAATATAAAAATTTTAATTCATAATATTATTTGTAATGCTATAATTTTAGTTTGATTTTTGAATCAAAGGGTCTCTTTGTTAGTCAAAATTAAATGTTAACCAAGTATTCTCCTTTCACCAAATATTTTAATTTAAATTTGCAAGTCGTATTAATTTTAACAAAAGATTATACTTTGACATTGTGAAAAAAAGCTCAGTGGATTTTTACTCAAGTTTTAAGGTGTGAACCGCATATATACGAAACTACCAGTTTGATGACTCTTTATATATCAGACTAAAGGTTATATAGTACAGAATTTGTTAATCTTGCAATAAAAATTTTAGCAAAAATCCATAGATTGCTATTCCAAATTTCAAACTCTCATAAAAAATTAATTGTCACTTTTTGAAAATCTGACAATAAATCTGATGTGACAAATGTGATTGACATCAGACTAGAAGTATTTATATGTATGATTCTCGTTAAAATCACGTTATTTCGTATATTTTTTACCGATATCGTATATTTTATTTCTTAATCGTATTTCGTATATTTTATCCTATTCGTAAATTTGGATGATTTATTATTTATTAATAATTTAGTTTTACATGCTTTTTTGTAGCATTATAAAAGGAACTTTATAAAAGAACGGAATGAAAAATGTGCTGGTTGCAAGGAATTAAAATTCAACATTTAATTTTAATTTTTTTTCTTGTGAGTGGACTTACAAATTTTACATTAACACATAATTTTATTTTATATACGTATTCGTAATTATTAAAATAAATATGTTCCATCTCTTTTTTTGCACAAATTGTCAAAATGTATCATATGACAATAAATCGTCTGTTGAGAAATGAAACAGTGTATGATGCGTATACACTGTTTTCTGATTTTATCACCATTGGATTCCCCGTAGTCGATTTCATAAGTACAACTATATTAAGTAACTCTTCATATTGATTGCGATAGGGTTTTTAAAGGAAAACGAAAATAGTGTATAATTCATTTGAGCAAAAAAGTTTGTAAATAAATAGTGTATAATGTGTTCACTCTGTTTTATTTCCAGACCCTAATTTTTTAGTAAAAACTGAAACAGTGTAATAAACCTATACACTATTTTATTAGAAAATTGAGCTGAGAATTTTTGATTTCACTACTAAATGAAATAGTGCATATTGCTTTTACTTCATTTTATTCGAAAATTTTCCAAAATTTTAATAATATAAAACAACGTAGGCCTTTGATACACTGTTTTAATTTTTTGCAAAAAAATATTTCTTCGTTGAATTAAAATTTATAATAGTGTATGAATATTATACACTGTTTCATATTGCTTCATACACTGTTTTGCAATTTTTAATCAGCAATTACTTTATTTTACAAACCATGCAATTAAAACAGTGTATACAAAAGATTGACATGTTCTTATTGTGTAAAATTTGTTTGAGTTGATCGGAAGATAGTGAAAATAAATAAGAGTTTTCAGAACCATCTTTACCAGAATTTTCTGCAGGTTCGGACGACGACTACAAACCGTTAGGTGACGAGAACGATGAAAATGTTGCCAGGAATCATAACACAAAATCCGTGGAAGGTCATAGTGCTTTTGTGTCAATAGAAACAGTTGAAGAATCAACAGAAATTGCGGAGGAAAATGTAGAAGTAGGAGAAAGCACGAAAAATGTTAGAAAGCGGCAAAAGAATGAAAAATTATGGATACAAAATCATAGGAAATTGTGCGAAATTCTGGACAACAATATCTGACTAAGCATGGTAAATTAAAAAACCCAAGGGACCCAAAAGCTGTAGTATGCAGTTGCAAGTTTGAATGCATGCAAAAGTTTACAGAAGATACCCGAATTAGTATTAACAAATCGCTTTGGCAACTGAGCGATTATGGGAAACAACGGTTATTTATTAAGCATACAGTTTCTCACAAAATGTGTAAAAGAAAGTTATCGGGAAATTCTAGAAGAAATTTTACTTATAGTTATGAACTAAATGATAAAACCATTTGCAAATATTTTATCTTGCAACATTGAATATTTCTGATGGAGCTCTGATGCATGTAAAAAAAAAGGAAAAAGCAAACATAGCAGTGGAAAAAGATCGACGCGGTTCACAAAACAATGCAAAACACTTGATCCTGAAATTGAAAACTCCATCAAAGAACATATAAAGTCTTTTTCTATTGTTGAGTCTCATTATACTACAAAAAACCCAAAAAAACTATATTTAGCTAGCAATTTAAGCATAAAAAAAATGTACGATCTATATAAAGAAAAACACCCAGAAAATAAAGTTAGCGAATATACGTACCGAAGAATTTTTAATACAAGATTCAACTACTCATTTCATGTACCCAAAAAAGACGCTTGTAAGAAATGCGAACAATGTAAAAATGCCGAGGATAAATCTCTGTTAGAAGAGGAGTACAAAAAACATTTAGATAACAAAAATGATGCACGAGATGAAACAGAAAATGATAATAGTAAGGCCACGAATAATAGCAAAATTAAGGTTTACATTTTTGATTTGCAATTGGTTCAGTACGCTCCTTGGTCGAATGTAAGTTCATTTTATTATACAAGAAAATTTGCATCATACAATTTAACTTTGTATGACTTCGTGACTAAAGAAGGCTATTGTAACTTTTGGATGGAAATTAATGGTGAACGAGGTTCTGATGAAGTTGGTTCAATTTTACTAAAGCATCTTCAAACACTACCTATTACAGTCGAGCACGTCATCTTGTATTCAGATTGCTGTGGGGGACAAAATCTGCCAGAGAAATTAGCACATAAAAATTTATTAGATGAACCAAATTATTCCGAAGATAAAATCGACACTTACAAAACATATAATTTTTTTTTGTAAAGTTAAGCATTATTAAATTTTTGGAAAGTTGATATTTTGATTTTTGAATATTATGTTTTATTTCTGTTTTGGTAAAATATATTGAATAAAAAAAGTTTTGTGTGTCGAAATAAATGATTGAATAAACTTTATGTTAAAAATAAAACAGTGTATGAATAAAAATGAAATGGTGTATACCATACAAAAAAAATAAAATGAAACAGTGTATAACTTATTTCATACAATTATCCTCAAAATTAAAACAGTGTAAGAGGTACTCTAAACTTTCAAAACCACAATTTACTATGATCCATGTGAATCTATAATTTCTTAAAAGCGGTAATGTTTTATTAAAAGCTTTAAAAATTTGGTGTTGTCTTTCAAAATAACTTATATAAAAAGCTTTATGTACTTTTTAGAACATAAACGTAAGTTTAAATTTTCAAAAAACTTTAAATGCAATTTACTCGAAACTATATATTTTTTTATACACTGTTTCATTTCTCAGCAGACGAAATATTAAACAGTTGATTGATGTTTATGTTTATAAGTTACAAAGTGATTAAGTAAAGAATTTCATTTAAACCAAAATAATGTTTTTAAATAAAATAAACAAGTATATTTATGTAAAAAATATTTTAACATCTGAAATTTCAATTTTTAATATACCACAACGTTTTAAAAAAACATTAGACTATTCTAAATATCCGAAATTAATAGAATCAGAATTAGAAGAAATGCATGTGCGTGGTTCAGGACCTGGTGGACAAGCTGTTAATAAAACTTCAAACGCAGTTGTTCTAAAACATATACCAACGAAAATAGTAGTTAAATGTCATATACATCGTTCTCTTACTGAAAATAGAAAAGAAGCCAGAAAAATTCTATTGAATAAATTAGATATACTTTATAATGGTGAAAATTCTATTGACGCACAAGAAAAAGTTATTTCACAGAAAAAATTGAATGAAAAAATTCAACGTCGAAAAAAAATCGAAGCTATGAAAGAGATTTGGAAAAAAAATGAAGGAAACGATTAATAATTGCAAATAAAACTATAAATATACACAGTATAAAATTTTGTAGTTTTAATAGTATATATGTACATAATAATATATAAAGAATATAAATGTTAGTATACGAAGGTTCAATAAATAACTTTCGTAAAACTTTGATTTTGAATAAAAAATTTGAAAAATATTCTTAAAATTTGCAGGGTTGTAACTTTTGTTACATACATATGTATATATCGTAAAATAAGTACTTGCATGTCACCTGTAAAATATAAGTGCTAAGAAACCACTGAACATCAAACCGTACCGTTAAATTTCAATAAATACTTCTGAATAAACGATGAAAAAATTAATATTTAAAAAAGGGCAACATATCATAATTATTATTCAAAAAAAAAAACTTTTTATCAACAACTTAAATACCTACTTTTTTTTAGTACAAGTTATTTTTTTTTAACTACTTTAATTATATTGTTATTAATGACATTATTATTTCAAGCGGTGGGGTGAAGTTTTTTTTATTCCTTTTTTTTTTTGGTATAACATAAGTCATAATCGTAAATAAAATTCAATTTATCATTAACCTTATAACTATATAGAAGTCACGAGCTTTTGTTGATTAGAACAAACGTTTCAGCTCTTCTTCAATGACAAGTAAATAGAATCTAATTATTTAGTTGAAGGGTGTGTTTTAGAAGTACATACATACATATGTGCACTAAATTATTCATTGTGAAAATTGAAACGTAAATAGACGAGAAAGTACAATACGAAATCGAAATTGTATTTGTTTTTGTAATTTTGCATAATTTTTGCTATCGATTTTTCAATAATAAAATAAAGACATCATGGTGAATAAAAATTATGGTTCCAATTGTTCTGAACTTGAAAGTAAAATTGAGCAATGGCTTAATTGGGATAAAAATGAAAAAACAATTGAAGAAATAAATTCATTAGTGGAAAAACAAGAATGGAAAACATTAAAGGATAGACTATGTAATCGTTTAACTTTTGGTACAGCAGGTTTAAGAGGTCGTATGCAAGCTGGATTTAATTCAATGAATGATCTTGTTATTATTCAAACAGCACAAGGCTTATGTGATTATGTGAAAAGAATTTTTGAAAAAGATGAACTTAATAAGGGTATTATTTTTGGTTATGATGGAAGATACAATAGCAAACGTTTTGCAGAACTTTCTGCATGTATATTTGTAAATGCCGGCATTCCAGTTTATTTATATAGTAAAATGGTTATAACACCATTTGTTCCATTTGGTATAATCAATAAAAAGTGTTTCGCGGGTGTAATGGTCACAGCATCACATAATCCAAAAGATGATAATGGATACAAAGTTTATTGGTCAAATGGAGCACAAATCATTCCACCTCATGACAAAAACATACAAAGTAGTATTTTAAATAATTTAGAACCCTTTGATTCATCATGGGATTTGTCTTTATTGAAATCGTCACTTGTGAAGGATCCATATGATGAATTGTGTAAATTATATGTTGAAAAATTGGTATCCATTATACCAAAAAATTATTTTAACTTGAATAAAAATAGCAAAATGAAATTCATTTATACTGCCATGCATGGTGTTGGATATCCAGCAATTCAAGAGGCTTTCAAACATTCTCAATTAAACGAACCAGTGGCTGTAATTGAGCAGTGCTCACCAGATCCTGAATTTCCAACAGTAAAATTTCCAAATCCGGAGGAAGGTAAAGAATGTTTAGTACTTTCGATTGCATTGGCTGAAAAAGAAGGTTTACGAGTTATTTTGGCAAATGATCCAGATGCTGACCGTTTAGCTTGTGCAGAAAAAAATACTGAAACAGGAGAATGGAAAATATTTACAGGTAATGAACTTGGTGCTCTCTTAGGTTGGTGGGCGCTTCAGTGCTACTTAGAAGAAAATTCAAAAGATACTCTGAAAGATTGCTATTTTTTGGCTAGTACTGTAAGCTCAAAAATTTTACATTCTATGGCTAAAGTGGAAGGTTTTAATTTCATAGAAACGTTAACTGGTTTCAAGTGGATGGGAAATAGATCAGTTGAATTAATGGAAGCTAAGAAAAAAGTATTATTTGCATTTGAAGAAGCTATAGGCTTTATGTTTTCAACAAATGTACTAGACAAAGACGGAGTTAGTGCCGCTGTACTATTATCTACAATGTGTTGTTACCTCAATGCAAATGGTAATAAAACTTTGCAAGACCAATTGAATGAAATATACAAAAAATATGGTTTTCATTACACAATTACCTCATATTTATTTTGCTATGATCCAAAAACTATCAAATCTATATTTGAAAGGATTAGAAATTTTGACAATAAACCCGATTCTTATCCAAAGGCAATTGGTGAATACAATATAAAATATATAAGAGACTTGACTACTGGTATAGATACTGCCAAATCAAATGGAAAAGCAGAATTACCATCAAGTAGTAGCACACAAATGATTACATTTACATTTGAAAATGGAGTTGTATTAACTTTACGGACAAGTGGAACTGAACCAAAAATAAAATATTATGCTGAAATGTGTGCTCAACCAGAAGAAGATGACTGGAATAAACTAAAATTGATATTAGCCGATGTAGTTGAAAAAACAGTTAAAGAAATGTTGCAACCGCAATTAAATAATTTGATTCCACGATCTGATAATTAATTGTTGTTATTGTTTAAAAGAAAAAAACAAAAAGAAAACTATGATTTCATTGAGTGATTTGAATTTTCCTTTAAAGATAACAATGTTAAAACCAAAAATATTTTTTTAATTTTTTTTTTTTACATTATGCATACCTGCATACATATATGTACATGGATAAATAATTTTCATTTTATAATTGAAACTATTATAAATTATAATTACAGCGATTGTATTTTATATTTTTTCTAATTTTAATATATGTACTTAGAAATTATTTAATATATGTATTAAATATGTAAAAATAAATTGTTTTATCGTGAGTATAAAATGTTTTTGTTTATTAAAAATTTTATATTCATATCAAAAGATATATTTGAATGTTTATATTTAACAACATGCAATTTGTTATTTGTGAAATTTTATTAAATTTGAAATAAGTTTTACTTGTTTGACAATATTGCACATTAGAGAAAATTACAAATAAAATTACAATTCTTAAAGAAACTTGTATTTAAAAGAAGTTTTTATTTGAGCAATTTGTTTGTAGTTTTTTACTTATGCAAATAAAACCATATCGAAATGTTCGCAGAAAATTAGTAATTTTTGTCAATATAGTTGTAGTAAAAAATAACCTGGTCCAATTTTGAATTTTGTGACAATAAAACATAGATTTTATTTCTCATACATATTGAATTTTGTCAGACGTATTCATCATTTTTAGATTAATAAAATTTGTATTGAAATTTGATATTCTATACTAGAAAGGGGATTTTTGATAATTCATTTCTAAATTAGGGTTTAATATAAGGTACGTTGGATAAATTCAAAGTGGTCTAAAAGAATATTTAAGTTTTTTTTTCTTATAGCTACTACAAAATAACTTTAAATTAAAAGAAGGGTATAGTAGAAAAATTATATTGGATCTTGTAGAATTAATTGAGTATGCTACAAATCTGATAAGTTAAAAAATTCAGGTTTCTCGTAGATTTGTAAGCATTATGTAAAAATACTTTGAGGATTTAATTTAGAACTTAAGTACTTTAATTTGGAATTATATGGGTTGTAAATTGTGTCATGTGTATTCAGTCAAAGGTATCAGCCTTTTATTAAAACAAATTCGAAATTTGGTGGTAAGGTACCTAATGTATACATAAAAGACAGAAAGAAAAAAAATGAAAAATAAAATAATTAGTTTTTTTTTGTTCTTTTTTTTTTTTTAAATACACCTTTATTTATAATCGCGCTTTTTATATTTTTATTAATTTTTTTTTTTATATTTTTTACTTTATTTTTTCTTTTTCATTTAAATTTTTAATATTTTCCTTATTCAAAGGTTTAATTTATGCTAATATTTTTATATTTTTTTTTTATTAAATATAATATGCTTATAATTTTCATATTTTTTTTTATATTTTTATATATAGTATATATATGTATATATTTATGTATATATATGGTTTATATTTTTTTATGTAATATTTATATAAAGTACATTATTTGGGTATCTTTTTTGTTTCTTTTTTATTGTTTTATTCATTACACAAAATATAAGAATACGTTTTTTATCTTTGTTTTTTTAAGTTTAAATTTTTTTATGAATATTTTTTTTTTATTAGAATATTAAAAAGCAACAAATTATTAACGTTTTCTTGGATTCTTTCGATTTTTCATTTTTATTAATTTTTCTGTTTTTTTTTTCTTTTATTTTTTTACAGTATTATTTATTTTATACTTGTTATTTTTTTTTTTTTTTGAGTTTTTAAAAACTTTTTTTTTTTGTTTTTCACGTATGTATATAATGGTATTTTATGAACGAAAAGCAGTATATGGTTTCATTACATTTCTTTTTCATGTTTTTTTTTTATATTTTAATAATTTTTTCGATTTTTTTTTTATAAATTTAATTATTTTCTTGTTTTTTTTTTTATATAATTATCTTCTTATATAACATCAAAATAGAGCAACCACATTTTATTTCTTTTTTTGTTTTTCTTTTTTATTTACCCAAAAAATAATAATAATATAATTATTAATAAGAATAATAATAAAAAAAAAATTAATATTTTTTTACATTCCTTCATACGTTTTTTTTTTAACTATATAGGTTTTCTTATATATGTACTAACAGTTTTTTGATTTTTTTTTCTTCGTGTTATAAATAACAGTATAATTGTATTATAATTTTTATATACCGTTATAAATAATAGTTATAATTTTCATTTTAATTATTTTATTTTAGTGTGTTTGATTTTTAACATTATGTGTGTGTGAATTAAATTTATTTTTTTATTGTTATGAATCGGACTTTTTCTTTGTTTCTTTTTTTTTTTTTTAAATATAGTTATATTATGTATGTATATATTTTTATATAATTTTAATATAAGTATATTTACATAGCTCTCGTTTGGCAGTTAAAATGCAAAAATTGCGTACATATATTTTATTTTTAATTAAAATATAATTATATGATGCATTTACATATAATGTATATTGTAATATTCGTTTATTGTTCAAAAAATAAAACATAATTTAAAAAAAAAAAAATAAGAACAATCATTGGATCATAAAAATCATTGGGTTGAAAGATACGAGGAATATTAACTCTAATTTTGAAAAAAAATTTTTAAAGAAAAATATTTTTAATTTATTAGATATATTTTATTTAACACGTAATTTTCAACTTACTTGGGACATGTGTTATGTATGTGTCTATTTTAATTTGGAATGAGATATTTTATTCATATTATCAATAACATAATTTGATTTCAAGTGATCGGATATTGTTCCGATATTATTTAGGTTTGTAGTTTTAAAAATAAAATTTCTTAAAAATTTTATGCCTTTTCAATAATAATTTCACATTCTCGTCAAATTATGTATATATATGTTTTAAGGAATATGAACGATGATTTTGAAAAAAGATAAATTTGTAAACAAAACATAAAGTATGAATTTTTTATTTTAAAAAAAATTAAGCAAATCAATTTAATATTAATTTTTTTCATTAAATTTGTTAATTACTTTGTTATTAACAACTCAAAAAAGTGAAAAAATGATTATCTTTTCGTGTTTCCGTTTTTCTTGTTTTTCAGATATTTAAAATTTTTCAATACAAAATAAAATTCACATTTTTATTTTGAATATATTTGATAAGTAATAAACATAAAAATAATACATTTAATTTATTTATTTGGAAATTCAATTTGAAATTTTTTGATTTTCGGTTCTTTACGTATTTTAGGAAAATTTAATTCAGTTGTACATGTACTTTAGTAAAAAATTTTATGTTAAAAAAAAATTAGGAAAAACATTAGAAAAGTAAGCTAATAAAAAAAAAAAAATAGTTCACTGGTTATTTAATGTGTTACGTAAATAAATTCATATATTTAGGATTAAATTATATAAATCATAAATTATGTATGCAGATTAAATATTATACACATTATTTATTATAATAACAATCACACGAATTATAAAAATTTAGGGAGGTTCCAAAAATTTGTATCATTCAAAAATAGAGATAATTTTTAATTAAATTATGTCGCATTATAATATTATGTAATTTTAGCAATAATAATATTTATAATATTTAAAAAACAAAATGTTGTTTATATCATATATTAAATTAATCTTAAAATATTTCTTTTTTAAATTTCGTTGTCCTTACGGTTTTTCTAGATTAATTTCCGTTTTTTTTTTGTTTTTCATTTTTTTTTTATACTAAATATACTAATAGGGAGTTTCAATTCAATTGAAATAAGTGAGAAATTTTCATTAATTTTTTTTTTTATTTACATGTATAAATTTATCTATATTATTAATTTTTTTCATATTGTTAAAGTATTTTAATGAAATCAAATATTCTTATTCTCATAGTTATACAGTATTTGATTGTTAATAAAAAAAAAAATATCAAATAGAATTTTAAAAATATTTTTGTTTCTCTTTTTTTTTCTATTTCATTTTATAAAAATATATATTTTATCTATCCAAAATTATATATAATAGTGTTTTAGATATATATCCACCTAATACCAAATACATTATTGTTTAAAAAGTCAATTTACTTATTTATAAAGCGAGATTCTTAAAAATTTAAAAATTAAAAAAAAAAAAAACGAACAAAATTGATGAGAACTTTTTTTTTTTGTTAATACAAAAATTTATAACAACGACAGAAATTGAAACTTTGAGAGTAGCAATAAAAGTTTTGATGAAAAAAGCGTAATAAATGTTAATAAATTTTTTTTTGCTAATTGTAATTAAAATCAACAATAAATATGCAATTTATCAATCATTTTATATTTTGCATTTAAATAATAAAAAAAAAAATTGATTTTTCAACCAGATTAATTTCTAAAAAACAAAAGAAATTTATTGCAAAATTATTTTAATTTTTAAATTTACATACTTCTTTAACATATTTCGTACACAAGTTATGAATATTTATATCTAAATTATTTTGAGAATTGAACAGAATAAAAAATATTTTAATGAGTTTTTATTTTGAGAAGCTGAACTGAATATTGAGTTTACAAAAAAAAAAAAAAAATGGTTAACAATAAAAATTTATTTTTATTTGTTAAATATGATAAAATTTATAATATTGTTAAATAAATAAAATCATAATTAAAAAAAAAACAAAATACTGTTTTTAAAACTTTAAAATCTTTTTGAAAAATATTTAACAAAATTATTTAATTATAGTCATCATAATGAAAACAACATAACATATTTATGTATAAAAGAAAATTTTAATTATAAAATTATAATATTAACTTTAAATGTTTGATTTTTAATTAATGATTTTATGCATAACGATTAGTAGCATCTTATGATGTTTTTCCAGAAAATTATGTAAAATATTACCTGCGCATAAAAATTACATATTTTATAATAGTATTGTTATAAAAAATATTTTTTATTGAAAATCAAGTTTTTGCAATTTATAAGATAAAATATATATATTCGATTTTTCAATAAAATAATGGAATTTTTATTTATAATTTTGGTAGATATATACTTTTTTTTTTGCATTTTTAAGTTGTACATAAAGCCATTTCAATGATATATAAAATTGATATCCAGGAAACAATAAAAAAAAGGTATTTTTTTCCCATTATTTACTTTTTTTTTTTTTTTGTAAACAATCAATTCTTTTGAAATTACAGGAATATTATGTATAATTATTCATGATCTGAATTAATTTTTTAGAAGCCTGTTTTTAAATTTTTGTTGAAAAAATAAAATTTTTTGTTTATTTTTGATCAAAAATTTTTAATAAAAAAAAAAACAACAAAAAAAAATATTTAAATTTATTAAAAAAATGTAAAATGTATGTACATACATATATAAAAATATATTTATATATACATATATAAAAAACAAAATTGACTAGCTAAGAACCATTATTAAATATTACTTTTCTTATGTATTTAAATCCGTAATTTATATACATATTTTGAAAAAAAAAAATAACATATTTATAACACAAAAAAAACTTCTTTTTATTTATTACTTCCGAATCAAAATGATAGATTTTTATTTAGATTATTTTTGTTTTTATTTCAATTAAAATAAAAACAAAATCGCGTTTTACTTTGAAAACTACAATTTAATTTTGCTTCTATTTTGCGATATATAAATGTACAAATTTAATATTATTTACAATAAATAATTTTTTTTTAAACAAAAAAGAAAAAATAATAAAATAGCGATAATAATATTAAAAAAAAAACAGTACGCTGCACTGTTTTAGTTATGAAAAAAAGCACCATTATTTTAATTGGCGATTATTTGCATATATTTTTTTATATATTATATAATTTTAAGATATACATTTATAGAAATAGTACATACATATTAATAAACATAATTATAATAATAAAGTAAAGCTTTAAAATAGAATATTATTCTTGAAGCATCTTTAAACATGTTTTTTAATTTTAAATTATTATATTTTTTTTTACATTTTTTGTTTTTTTATTTTAAATTAATATTTCTTAATTTTCATTTTTTACAATATTAATTAAGAATTTTTATATTAATTAAGAATTTAAACACGACAAATTCAAATCAAAAAATCAATAACCTAAATTAATATAGTCATTAATAAATTTTGAATTTTTTGATTTTCATGATTTTTATTTAGCTTCAATAACAACATTCTATTAAAATAAAAGAAACCTCTAAATTTTATATTTTTAATTATTTAATATAATAATAGTTATTAGAATATTTTTAATTTTTTTCTTTATTAGACAAAAAGTAAAAAATAAAAGAAAAAAAATATAAAATTTTTTATATTTGAATTTTTTTTTTCGTTTTCTTACAGTAATTTTAATATTTATGCTAATAATAATAATAATTATATATGAACACGTTGTGCTTTGATCTTTAACAATAAAAATAAAATTAGAATTGATTTATCATTGTGATTATGCGTTCTGAAAATAATTGATTTTTTTCTTTTTTTGAAATTAAGCACTAAAAATAATTTTTAATTACATTTTTTTGTTTTTTTTTTTTTATTTTTCATATTATTAATTTTTTGCTAGAGTTTATTTACAGGTATATTAATTTTTATTTTTTTTTCGAAAAGCTAACAAGACAAAAAATTAACAAAGATTAAAAAAATATAAAGTATAAAAAATAAACAATAAAAAATATAGAGTATTTTTTGATCTAAGACAAAAACTTATTTCAATGACATTATTTTTTTTTAGGGAAACAATTATTTTATATATATTTATATGTATAAATATATCCTTTTACAACAAACAGTCAATTTAACAAACTTATTTGCATATTTGGATATTTCCAAAATATAAAGAAATTTGTTTTTTCTTTTTTCTTTTAAACACAATACAACACAATTACACATACATTATTTATTATTATATTCAATATGAGTTTTTATTAATTTTTCTTTTTTTTTTAATTTTAATTATTGTTACTATTTTGATCTGCTGCCGTTTTTACAATACCATTACCGGTATTATTACCACTATCTGTACTGCCACCACTGTTACTTTTTTTAAAATCAATTTGAGCATATGCAAATGCTGGTTGTTGACAACAACTAGCATTCGGGCTTGGACTAGTTGATGAATCCCCTGATGTTGAAGAGTTAACTTTGGTTTCAGGTATTGACGAGGATGATGCTGAGGTTGCTGTCGGATTTGTTGATGGTGGCAGGTCTAAGCTAGCATAATGTAATTCTTTTTCTGAAACAACGGACGGAGGTCTAGATGTTATTAAATTATTGATTCCTCCAACTGTTGTAGCTGTAGTTGTTGATGATAATGTATCAGCTGAGGAATTTGAATCAGCGCGCATTATATCAAAAGTTGTATTATCAGTAAATGATTGCGGTCTAGATGATGCTAAAGGACTTTGACTTTTACTGCCACATAATGTCGATGATGACGATGTTGATGATGAACCACCACATAAAGTTGATGATGAAGATGAATTTGATATTGGTGATGGTATACATTCACTATTAGCTGAATTTGGTCTTATTTGACAATTAATTGTAGTATTTTTTAAAGGTGATATTTTATCGCTATTAACAGAACTAGGCCTTGATAATGAAAATTTATTTTGTTGTACAGAAGAACTATCGCAACGTAAAAGTTCATATGTTGGACAATTTGAATTTTGATTTTTACATGGTAAATTTGTTGTTCTTGGTAATTTCTTAAGCAAATTATTATTGTTGTTATTATTATTATTATTATTGTTATTGATACTAGTATTATTGTTGTTATTATTATTAATGTTACTATTGTTATTATTATTATTCATTTCGTCATTGATCGGCTTGAATCCTTCGAAAACTGCTATTGCGGATTTATCTTTTATGGGGAACTTTTTGGTTGAAACACTTTGACAATCAATTAGTGATTTATCTGCTTTTAATATATTACTAATATTACTACTATCTTTACTATCATTATTACTATTGTTACTAGCATTATTGCTGTTACTTGCCGTAAGTTTTTGTTCGCATAATTTTGAGGAAGAATTTGGATCAAAGTTAACATATTCATGTTGTTCATGACTCTTTCCCGTTGGTATTGATATTGTTTTCTCCTTCTTAAAATCGTTTGAGTTACGTTTCTGTTTTTCGCAAATATTCAAAGACATATCCGTATAGTTACATAAAAATGATTCAACATTTTTAATTGCATTGTCTCCTTTAAAGAAATTTGACTTACTGTTTGAATTTACGTTTGAGATATGAAGTTTTTTCAGTGAGGATAACGCTGAAATAGAGTTATTCGACTTGTTTTCTGCTGATTTATATTTTTCTTGTCTGTTATCTAATAAGGTTACAGTACCATTTGAAGCATCAACAAGACATTTTCTTTCAATGGCGCTTTTACTTTTATTTATCATGCTGTTATGATTACTTGTATGACTGTTTTCAAACGATTTCTGAGGACTACATGGACTAAGGGAAAACATAGTATTTTGATTGCACAGTGAAGAATCTGAATACATATCGTTTTGACCCGACATAATTGCACTTGTATCTAAGTCTACTGGATATTTATGTTTAGGTTGATTTGCGTTCTTTATATCAATTGGCATTGATGTTGATCTATTTATCCAAAATTGATTATCTGATTTTACTTCAGAGAAGTTTTTATTTCTATTCATTGGCACATATCCGTCTGGAGAAGTTGGACCTTGATCCACATCCATTGATTTTTCATGTTCTTTTATAGTTGATATATTTGATGAGAATTCTGCAGAGGATGGCGAAATATTCATGTATTCATTTTGCGTATTTATGATCTTGTTGTTATTACTATTGTTGATGGAAGTATATTCTTTGGCTGAAATAGGATAGCTTTGCGTTTGATGTGATTTGGCAGAATATTTTGGTGATAACATTGATTTTGATGGTGAACTAGATAAACTTGGGCTTTTAGATAAATATACGGGCTTCATCTCCAAATAACCGCAATTACCATTATTACTTGTATTTAAACTATTATTACTTCCTCCGCCCGTGGTTTCAAATTTTGATAACGACAATGGTGATGAAGAGCTGAAACAATTATTATCAGGAAAACTTCCAGGTCGCATTTCCAAATAACCTGGTGGAGTAGCTTTGTTATATGAACTGGATTTAGTTGTTGTTGAAAAAGGTACAGTAACAGGAATTGATGAAATGCGATTAGCTTTTTGAGTACTATGCGTTAAAAACGACGAACTCATATCAAGATTTCGTCTGGAACCACTAGAACTAGAAGAATCAGCTGAATTTTTTGAAAAATCAATTTCCATCAAATCGCTCATTCTTTCAACGGAACTATGATTTTTATGCAAAAGTAACGGAGCACTTGAGGATTTACTGTTGCGTTGCTTTGAAGAATTAAAATTTGAATCAACATTGTTATTTGGATTGGAGTTGGTTGCATTTATATGATTTGTAAATAACACTCCGCGCGATAAATCACACCTTGGAACTTTCGCCCGTGATCCAACCGAAAACGCCCGTACTCGAGAGTTGTTTTGAATTTCGTTATTGAATTCAATCCTCAGTTTTCGTTTGTTGTGTTCTACACGGCTACCCACAGAATATGCACGAGTCGGTCTATCAGAAATTGACCTAAAATAATTGTTTTTAAAGGGACTATTTATTTTTATATTTGCAAATACTAACTGCATATCTTCATCATCCGGAGTAAACCTAGAAGTAACTTTTTCCAGTGGATACTCAGCAAATTTTAAATCAGTTGAGGGAGTTCCTGATGTAATACTACTACTAGAAGCAGCAGAACTGAAACCGCTGGGATTATTTACATTTTGTTTAATTGATTGCTCCATATCAACATATTCTTGTGTAGGTTGATTGGGCGGGCACATAGTAACGTAACCATCTACAGTCTCTTCGGCAAGACTAGAAGCACGACTGTGCCCTCCAGAACTTCCTGTATACAATCCTCGATTGCACTCAACACTGGGTGACACTGGTATGTATCCTCCACCAATTTGGTCACATGGTGAACTTCCACAGGGACTATATGGACTATACATGTCCATGTACTGAGACTGCATATCAATAGAACCTGTATGAGAATTCATGGCTGGGCTACCTTTACGGGTTAACTGATTTCCTGATAATGGTAAAGATAATCCACCATGGTTATTTAATTTATCTATGAAAGGAATTTCTGTATCACTCGATGTTATTTGATTATCAGGATACCATATTTCATCTTTTTCTTCCGGAATAGTAGTACCGCGTGAAGAAAGACTGTTCAAATACATATGATTTAAAATACATTTTTAAAAACAGAAAAGATTATTACTTTAAAAAGTGTACAAAATTTCCACTTTCATCAGGGGTTAACGACGAATGATCAAGGCTGTCGGGTTCATCTATACTAAGTGAAGAGCCTTCACTTTCCGAACACCCTGTCGAAGGGCTGATGGCGCTAACTGGAGGACTATGGCTATGGCGATTCGTGTACATTGAATGAGGTCTATTTATAGGAATAGTTTTAGGTGGAGGCATAGACGAATTTGTAACACTTTGATTACTGCATTCACTTATAGTTCGATTTCTTGACGGCAAACTGTCGCATCTATCCCGTCCTAGTGTTGAATCTTCAATAAAAAGGATAAAAATAGCTTGTTACAAAGTCACTCTAAAAAATTAAAAAAAAATAAACTTACTTGTTTGAGGTGAGGAGTTTATAGGTTTTAATCCAGTGCTTGTTTGCCTTCTTTGAATACCACATGAAGGCTTGGAAGTTTCGGAAGACGATCTCTTTCTCATAGGACCCAAAGGATCATCCTTTACTCTCATTGAGGACATTGCGCTAAGAAATTTTGGAAGACAAATACTTTTATAAATTTACTAAATTTTTAAATATTAATTTTTTTACTTGATAATCATTGTGTGCATATTTTGAGCTATTAGAGTATCTTCGGTTTCCATCCAAAGCTCTCCTGCTCCGATTGAACTATGGCGGCCTACTTCCATGTAAAAATAACACTGAGAATCCCCACACCTAAAATTTGTGATCATTATTTATTTAGAAATTCATACCTCTTATAAAATGTTCTTAAATTTTTTTCTTACCTTCTTATTGTTGTTAATTCAAACTCTACGCTGTACAATCGAGCTTCACCTTGATTAGTTCTAGCCGTCCCAATTCTATATAATGTCAGTGATTTTGAAGTCAAACATACATGATAGCTGCCCAATAAGCCCTTTTCTTCTGCCAAACCTTTTCTTTGAACTTGAACTTGCCATACATGCTCTGAAAACAAATATGAATAAAAATAGATCATTTTAAATGCTAGTTTTTTTCAAATTGTTAATATAATAAAATGTTAAAATGTTTTTTTTAAATAAATGATTTACCGAAAGTGGGTTTAGGCATATCAGATTCTGTATCTTCTCCTCTTTGTAATGTTAATAGCGCTTTTAGCCATTTGTTAAGTTCTTCTTCTGTATCCAGAACTATGCAAAATCCACCATCACGAACTGATAATGCTATAACATTTTTATGTTTCGTATCTAATCGTCGATTAATATTAAAGCAATTTTTCAAAATAATGGTTTTCTTAGGATTTGATCGAGATTTGAATTTTTTCTCACTATCGTAATATTCCAATCTAGCTGCTCTATTCGATGTTTCACCACATAAAACAAAATATTTCTTTTTCATTGTTTTTAATTTTTTGTGATAACCCTGTAGAACAACCTCATTTGGTTGTTCAACAACACTTAATCTTGAACCAACAAAAGAATGCATCATTTATATTGCTTTTTTACAGCATTTCTTTTGAAGAAATAAATTTTTTATCTTAAATATGTCCTTGTCTGAAAGTTTCTTTAATATTAGAATCTGGAAATCAAAATGAAGAAATAAAGTAATTTAATTTTATAATATAAAACGAATTTTAAATGTTAAGTGGTAATTAAAGTAATTTAACACAGCTTAATTCATGTAGGCAGCATTAAGGTAGGTACTTACCTACCTTTTATTTATATAATTGGAACTACTATAAATTTCTTCTATTTATCTCCAATTTGCAGTTTTTTTTTCCTGTGCAACGTAAATTAAGCTATTTTCTATAATTTCTATTATTTCTTTAATAGTAAAACATGTTTACATTTTTTTTTGTAGAGCAATATTAGAAAATAATACAGAAAATTACTGCAAGGAGCATATTATACAGGGTAGGTAGGATATAACTACCTACTTATGAAAATATTTGTATATATGTACATATATATGTATGTAGGTATATATGGCAATTTTCAATATGAAAACATGGAAAATAAGTACCTACATAGATAGATAGGTTTTACCTAAATAAAAATAAATAAAATTACTGCGCTATAAGTACATACCAACATTGAAATGTATCAAGTTAAATGCGTAATAAATTTTTAATATTAGGTATGTTAGAAAGGTCATGTAACAAAATTACGTTACACAAAAATAAATTGTACAAAAAAGATAGAAAAATTTAATTTGAAACGTTTTTGCTAATTGAATAAAATTTAGTTTTGCTGGAATAAAATTTACCTTGTTTTGATATTGTTTATGATATTAATGTACATAATATTTATACATTTCTCCTTATAATGTATAGGTATGTTGATGTTTAAATAGATAGGAATTTCAAGTTGTCTGACCAACATTCATGTCAAAACTATCTATGTATGTAGCTACCTACTTATATAGTTTCTGCTTTTACAACTTTTTTCTTTTTTTTTTATGTAAATACGCAATTTGTAAATCTTTTTATTTTCTTAATTTATTAACAAATATATTTTGTTTTTGTTTTTCAATTGTAATTTCGTTTTATTTTCATTATTCAAAATTTATTTTTGAAATTTTTATTTTGATACACCAAAATTCTTCTTATACTTTTTATAGCACTAAATTTTGTCTCGTAAAAGTTATAATTGTACTCACAGATTCATTGAAATCTTATTTTTGAATTCACATTTTATAAAATGCATTTGTATGCTTAAATAAGTACTATAAAAAGTCTAACAAAGTTTTATTTTTCATATTTGAAAATATTTTGATTTTTATTTTGCCCTTTTCACTCGCCAAACGTGGCAAAGGGTGTGTATATTTTTTTTAATAACAAATTCTTAATTTCACCTTAAGCTTTAATGTCAATATTTAATGATATTAAAATCACCATAGTTAGCATAATAAATATTTCAATAATAGTATAAAATTTTATTAAAATGAATTACTTATTTAGATTATGAGATTTATTTTTTTTTATTATTACGTAGTAAAAATTGCGACCATCTTTAATTGAAAATTAGGAATAGGTATTACCAGTTTGAACTAAAATCATTGTCAATTTGGTTTTGGCATAATAGAACATGACTCTTTTTTTGGCTTCAAATTAAAATGTGTTAGAAAAGTATTTATGTACATATATAGGTAATTAAAATTATTGGGTTAGAAGAATGAACATATATATTGCACATATAATCTCTTGAACATTTATTTAAATTTAGTTCAACTGGGTTTTGTTGTTTTCATTCGGATATAAATTTTAAGTAACTAAAGTTAACTGGAGTAACTAAAATACTGATATTTATGTTATGTCAAGATATATAACGCTTAAAGATAAAGTAAACATTTAAATTGGTTAAATTTTAATGAATCCTTGCTGGAAAAATCTATTTAGTGAAAAGACAAATTTGTGAGTATTTGTCTCCGTATAATTTAACTAGCGTAGCATATTAAATTATACGATTGTGTAGTCTCTAGTTTGCCTTATTTGGTCCCTAGTCTATTTTAGTGCTTTTTAATTCGTCCGGCATTTCAAAATCTCATATTAATCTTTATACACAATAACTTCACAATAGATGTCAGGTATACCGTTTTGATAGGTACGCCATTCTTAAGACAACAAACATTATGACAATTAAAATGTTAAATCAGCTGACAAAATTGTTTGTTTTACGTGAAAAAAGTGTTTTATTTAGTAAAACAGATTATAACTAATAATTAAAATAATATAGGACTAAGGAAAAATGGTTATATGTAAATATTTTCAAAACGGCTACTGCCGATTTGGGTCCAAATGTGTTAATGATCATCTTGATATAAAGTAATTAAGTTTTAAGAAAATTTCCGAATTTTTTCTAATATGCATGTACACATAATTTAATTTTAAGGCAAATTATAAAAAGCGAAATTGAAGCAGCATTAAAAGGGTCTCAGTGGCCATTATCATGTTTTGGGCCTTTTAAAGAGAAGGCATGTGTGCCGAATTTCATTGATGACCAAAGTTTTGAGGAAATACGATATTTGTGTTATGAGGCAAAAAAACAAAATTGTTTCCTACCATTTCAACAACAGTTTAACCAACAAATTTTGGAAGCCCAAAATAAAATGAACCAACTTTTATCATTAAGTCCTGAAGTTGTGAATGTAATTACACAAATTTATGAATCTGGGTCAGAAGTTAATAAAGGGCCCCCTGCCAATAATCCATTTTCAAATATGGGAGGCAGTTCTACAAGCAACTCAAATTTATTTGGAAGTAATCAAGTGCAATCTAACCCATTTGCTAAATCAATAACAACTGGTTTTGGAGGTGGTGCAACTGCTGGAAACAATATATTCGGATCAAGTGTGCCAAATAATAATAATGCAGGAAGCAGTAATATTTTTGGAAATGGCCCTTCAATTTTTGGGGGTGCCGCGCAACAAAATTATCAACCAAGCCCATTTGGAGGTGGATTTTCAAATCAAAAAAGTCAAAGTATTTTTGGGGGACAATCACAACCACAAACAAGTTCTATATTTGGTGGAAGTTCAGGTCAAGTTAATTTTCAACAAAATCAATCTTTTGGTAGTATTTTTGGTTCTAATAATTTAAATAATACCGGAAATTTAGTTTCAAATCAACCTATGCAATCGAATATATTCCAAGCGACTAATCCAGGAAATGTTTTTGAAATGCAACCTACACAACAATCAACATTCACAACACAAAATCAAGCACAAAATACTGGATTTGCAAATCAATCAAATCAAAACAAGGCTTTTACATTTTCTTCTTTTTTGCAAAACCCAAATCAACAAATCCAACCACAAAATCAATCTTTTGGACAGCAAATTAATACCGGAATTTTTGGTAATAGTAATCAGAATTATATTCAGGCACAAAATTCTAATAATCAGAATGCAAATATGAATCCGAACCAAAGCGATATTCAAACGCAGAATCAACAAAATCAAATTCAAAATCAGAATCAACAAAGTCAAATTCAAAATCAAAATCAACAAAGTCAACTTCCAAATAATAATCAACAAGGTCAAACTCAAAATCAGAATCAAAATCAAAATCAGAATCAGCAAAATCAAATTCAAAATCAGAACCAACAAGGTCAAATTCAAAATCAGGGCCTTAATCAGAATCAAAATCAAATACAGACCGCAAACCAAATGCTCACAACAAATCAAATGCAGGGTCAAACTCAAGGTCAAAATCAAAACCCTACTCAGCAACAAGCCCACATCCAAAATCAAAATCAACAAAATCAAAGTATATTTGCTCAAGCAGTTCAACCGCAACAAAATGTTACACAACAAGGGTTATTTACACAAGCAAATCAGAACCAATCTCAGCAAGCTCATCCACCAATCTTCGGTAACCAACAACTACAAACTTCAAATTCAGTTTTGACATCCAATTCAACCTCAACAGATGTTTCGTCACAAAATATTTTCGCTCAAGCTGCAGCTAGCCTAATGCAAGAAAATTCAAAACCGAATCAATTTAGTTCAAATCAGTTACACCAAATAAGCCAAAATCAGCAAACATATTCTGGCGTTTATAGTAAATTAGATTCTTTATCGGCAGAAGCTCTCGAAGCTTTTAAAGCAGATCAATTTTCTATTGGAAGGATACCAACTGTACCTCCGCCAAGAGAACTATGTTTTTAAAAATATATATATGTATGAAATGTTCGAGTTAACTCAAATTATCTTTTTATAATGTACCTATACGTTAGAATGGAAGTATTAAATTAAATTTATTTTAGATTATGGTATAAAAAATACTTTAAAATTATAAAAAAAAACAAAGGGTAATCTGTTGAATTGTCTACAATCAAATCTGGACCTGATTAATTCAAGATACCGAATCTTGGATTAGCTCAATATTTTGAACTAATTGAAAGTTCTTCAAATAAAAAAATTCACATCGCATTTTGAAAGGGAACTGTTTTTTTTTTTAAGTTTTTTTAATTAGTTCTAACTACATAATCTATATGATTTTTATTTAACAAATAATTCTTAAAAAATATTAATTAAACAAAATACAAGGACAATACCAATAGAACCTAAAGAATATAGTTTTGATGCGGGGCTCGGTACTTTCATCTGAGAACATGCTTTTCCTATACAGTGATTGCACTTCTCATTAACAGTGCAGTTAACGAAAGCGTCCTCATTCAGGTCAACGATGCAACCCCATACAATATCATTATTTTCTATAAAATAAAATTTATATGACAATAAAAAATTAAAAAAAAGTTTAATAATGAATTTACGTAACACTATTTAATACATACCATCTCTTCTGACATAACATCCTTGGTTTGTCCAATATTGATTTGGATTTTCGCAAGTGGAAGGCTTCAATTCATTTTCTTTTTTTTCGTTATTTTTGTATTTTTCTTGAATGCATTCTTGTGGAATTAATACTTCATTATTACAATCATTTTCGTTACAAATTTTGCAAAATTCTTCATCACTATTTATACATAAATTTCTATCGTAACTGCATCCTCTTTCAATTTTTCCTTGCGAATCTTTACGCACGAAACAACTTTCTGAAGCATTTTGTGGAACGTTATGTTTACATGGCATTGAAAATTTATTTTGTCTCCACCGGCAGTGTTCATCTTCATCATTACATTTGTAACAACTTAAAATTGGTGATTTTCCTTCACGTTCTGGTATTTTCATGTTGTCACAGTCATTGTCAGTACACATATAGCAAGTTTTTGGATTATTCCTGCATTCTTCAATTTGTTCTGTTGTTAAATCACATATACAACCAAGCTTAACCGAAATACCTGTGTAATATACAAACGCACCGCATAGTTACTAAGTTACTTTTTAATAAGTTTGACATACTTTATTTTTACCTTTTCGTTGAGCGTAACATCCCCGCGTATTGTATGTTTGTTTTTCAGCAGTACAAAAAGTCCTTTCCAATTTTTTAACACCATCATTTTCTAAATCTATCTGTATACATTTTTCAGAAGTATGCAGTTTATTGTTACACTCATTTGTATTGCATACTGTACAATTTTCATTATTTCCATTTGAACAAATTTCATCATCTAACACACAACCTCTTTTTATTTCGCCATTATTTGATTTGTAAGAATAACATTGTTCTTCAGCATTTAGAGGTACGTTTCTTTTACAAAATTTCAAATTTTCGGTTTTTTCTTGACTCCATTTGCAACTTTTATCATTCTTATCACATACATAACATGATCTTTCTGATTTTTTTAATAAAAAAGTTATATTATTGCATCTACTTTCAAGACATTGATGACAACCAAATTGTTGATTACTTGTACAGTTTTTGAATTCAGGATCTGTTTTGCATCCGCGGAAAATTTGTTTATCATTTTTAATAAATTCAAAACACCCATCTTGTTTTTCGTATATTTCGCATGGTTCTGCCCAATCTTCCTCTTGTTTTAAGCTACAATCATCATTTCCGCTGCATCTAAAACATTGTAAACGATCAGTTGGAAATATTTCACTGTTACATAAATTTTCGAAACATTTCTCAACTTTAACTTTATGCGTGGTATTAAATTTTTCGCTTAGACAACCACGCTCCGTATGACCATATCCATTAACAGTTGTTAAACATGACGCATTACTTGATTGACAAATTTCAATTTCAGTATTTGTTAAATTTAAATGACCAGCACAATTTGGATTTGTTTTTGAATTACAATTATAACACTTTCTAAAAGGTTTTGTATTGCAACCGTCTTCATTTTGGCATTCATAGCAACTAATATTCTTGTCGTTATTTTGTAACAATGGTATACCACAGCCTCGTTGATAGTTATTTGATTTAATCAAACAAGAATAACAGGATGATATATTTTCTTCACATACTTCAATTTTATTTTTTTCGCAATTTGGATCAGAGGTGCCAGGACCACAAACTACACATTTTGCAACTGGTATAATTTTATTATTACATTCTTCACCATTGCATGCTTTAAAAAAATCTTCTTCAAGTCCAAGTTTTCCACTATCTCTATAACAACCTCTAATTACATTATCATTCTTATGATATGTAAAGCATGTTGGGTCTGTACGACCTAGTAACATTGTAAAATTACATTTTTTTATTGGTGATGATATGGATTTACAATTTTTATCTGATACAGAATTACATTCTAAACAATTATATTCGATTAAACCAGGTTCACGATTACATCCATTTTCAAGGCAAGTAACAGCAAATGGCGGTAAAAATTCATGACTTGATGCACAACCTCGAACAGCATCAATTTCATCAATTATTTGTGTAAAACATTTATCATTTTTTCGATATATAGGACATATTTGTGGAAAATATTTATTTGTTGGTTGAAAGCAATCTTCACCTTCACAATTATAGCACATTAATCTATCGGCTGGAAAGATATTTCTGTTACAAAGTGTACTGTTACATATATCAAAAGGTTGAATAATTTCAGTATGATTTCCATCTGTACAATCCCGGATTACATGACCATTCTCTATAAAATTAAATTTATTAAAATTTATGCATAATATACTTATTTAATTAAATAAAAAATATATACTTGTATGAATGTATGTATTATATTCTAAATTTTTATTTCTATTAACAAATTTATGTTATGTATAACAGCACTGTAAATCGTCTGTAAAACAAAAAATTAATATTACTCTTATACTACATGACTCGTATAGTATAAGAGCTTTATTAATAAATAATTTTCGTTTTCAATTTTACGATTCTTATCTCAAATGTTACTTAAATACTTCAAAATTTATTGATTTACGGTATAAATCTTGATGAAATAATAATATTGAAAAAAAAAGAAGTGCCGCCTGTTTATTTTTTTTTTTATTACACTTTATTTTTGGTATTAAATATTTTGAATATACACAAGTTATAATTAATTTAAATCAATGAAATATTTAAAGTTCTTTAGTAATTGTAAAACAACAATTACGATTAAATCATTTTACAGTGATTTTTTTTCATTTTTACTACGGTATTAATGTTGTTCAAATATGGGCAGAATTTGAACTATTAGTTTTTGAATTTTAAATGATAGATAAAAATAAATTAATTTTTATCAGTATATTATTAGAGTGTTATATTGAAAATATTAAGTGCGTATATATATAATTCGTTCTAGCATAATATATTGTATAAGCTAAAATTAGTTATTATTAATAAATAAAGGATTGAAATCAAAAATTTGTATAACAAAATGAAATGGACACTATTTAGGTGTGTGTATAAGAAAATTTAATAAAATATTAATAAATTTTATAATATTTTAAATAAAGAGTTCTAATAACATTCATTGATATTTTTCAATTTCAGAATAAAATATTATATATTACCTGTACTGCCTATATTTGAATAAAAAATTTGCTTTTTTAGTTTTATACAAATTCATCTATATACATATGCATATATATATATGTGTGTATAAATAAACGTATTACTTATGCATATGTTTATGTATAACTTTAAACTTATAATTTTATGTGATAAGATATCATAAAATGTGCATTTCAAAAAGAGCTTAATCTTATAAATTAATGTAGAATTAAATTAATAAATCTAATGTGTATATAGATTTTAGATAACAAATATAGTGATATCAAAATTTTTAATTTTTGGGTCTTAAAAATTATACACAAAAACCCTTAATCGGATAAGATGAAAATGAAAACTGTTTTTCAAAAATATTTTTCTATGATGTGTGAATTTTTTATTATATAATATTTGTTTAAAATTAATTATAAAAAAATTATAAAATGCAAGATTCACCCTCAAATATGTATATTTTTATAAAATATTTAATTTTTAGTAATATTGACTAATGATATTTTCTTTCAAATATTTAATGATGTTATAAAATCTCTACGATAACCAATTTAATACGGTAACTTTAATTTGATTTCAGTAATAAATCAAAATTATTAAATATACACATAAAAAAATTTTCTATGAAATTAAAATTTACCAGTTATTCTTGTTATACAAGATATTTGATCTTTAGCACATTCTTCAATTGGTAAACCTAATCCAGGTTCTGTAGCACATTTTTCTATTTCACTTGAATTACATTTATAACACATTAATGCATTCGAAGCTGTAAAAAATTTATATGTATATTAATAATAAAAAATTTTAAATTTTTTAATATTTAAAAATTCTTACATTTTATTGCAATATTATTAAGTGTTACCACAAATAATAAAATATAAATTAAATATTTCATTTTAATATTGAATTTTTAAATTAATTTATAAAATTAGTTTATAGAATTTTTTCTTTAAATTATTATTCACAAATTATTTTAAAAATTATTAAAATTAAAAATAAAATAAAAAAACAAAAAAAAAAACAAGAAACTTTAAAAGCCCTCTTTGCCCATTAAAAATCTTTTTGTTTAAACAGAGCTACCACTTTTAATGAATTGAAAGTGAAAATATAATTAATTTGTATTTTAAAAATGTTAATGTATTTATTAAATTATTTATATTACTCGATATACATTAATTATACTTACTATACAAATTATTTCAAATGGAATGATCAACCCATTGATATACTAAGATTAGATAAAAATATTAAAAAAACATTACTAATAGTTAGTAAGTAATTTTGATTTTGTCCAAAATCAAAGCAGTTATCACAAATAAAAGAAATAAATTATCGCGGTAATTATTTAAAGGGAAAAAAAATAAATTTGATTTGAAATTTTTACGGACATACGGTATATAATTTTTTTTTTAAAGATAAAGAATATATGTAGCAGTTTTATGCATGACTTTATCTAGATTAAATCAAATTTAAAAAAAAAAAACCTTTTTTTAGCACATTTGCAAAAAAATTTTTTTTGAAAAAAAGTGTTTGTTATTTTCAATTTGACTTGCGTCCTTGCGTCAGTTGACTTATTTGGAAAATCACTATAGATAGGTAGATGTTCTATAGATTGACAGATTTATTTACATGTAAATAAATTTTTATGAGGAACTTATTTCAGAAGAATATAATTTTTAAATATCTTACCTCCCTCCCCTCTTCACAAGTTATCAACTCTTCAAATTTATAAAATTTGAATTTTCGAGATCTTATATTTTTAAAACTGCAAGCTTTTCCAAATTTCTATAAATGCACAAAGCTAACGGTATTAAAAAATATAATTATTTTTCTTAATTCATGAATTCGAGGGTTATTTTAACGCCTTTTTCTATTTTTTTTTGTCTCATTCAAAATGTATGCAATATCTGAAATTTTTTTTTATATATAAATGAAAATAATTTTAATAATGTAGTAAAATACATAGATTGTTTTTAAAGCCAGTTGAAAAATGAGAATTCACATGTTGAAGGGAAAAGTGCTACTTTGCAAACCGTTAGTTTGACCAAATTTTGTTATTTTATTTTTTTGAATTTCTTAAAGTTTGTGTTGTTTGTTTTATTTTATTGATATAGCAGAATTTTTCAATTATGACGCATGATATAATTTTCACAAAAAAACCTAATATGTAGTAACCATAATTGCTACCCTATTTTTTTTATAAAACTTTTTCTTTAAAATATTTTACTGTGTAATTAAAATATTAATTTTAACAAATTTTATAGCTGAATTAATTAATTAATTTTATTTTGCAATTTATGTAGACTTTATTCTCTATTTTTCTCTTTTATATGGTCTCCTGTCGCATACTTTTGGTATACAAAAAAAAAAAATGGAAGAATAATATCTATTATTGAATTTTCTCCCATTTTTATTGAAATATTTTAAAAAAATTTGATAAAGTTTAACTTAGGCTTTCTTAGATTTCCAAGAATAAAGATTATCATCAGAATTGGGATATTTTGGTATAGATGATTATTCCAGAGACCAGGTGAGTCGACGAGTTGTAGTTTTTTGTATCCATTTAAGTTTTATTTGATTATTTTTAAAAAAAAATTCAACTTCAATTCAAATTAAACAAGCTATTGTTAATTAAAGTTACAACATTTATTTGATAATAGAAGAATAAAATATAATGAATGTGTGTATTTGTATTCACATATTAAAAATTAAAATGTATTAATTTTGGATTTTTATTAATAGTAATAAAAGAAATCCATAAATTTTATTATGAATTAAAATTCTGCTACCCAAATTAGGTTTTTTATTATTACATTTCATTTCGGGACAATATGAACATGTTTTATTATTATCTTGTTGACAAAGTTCAAAATCAACATCATTTAATTCATATGCGCAACCTCGTTTAACTGATTTACCTATAATAAAATAAATAGTAATATTGTAATCCAATAGAATAACTAGAATACAATTAAACATTTAATACCTTTTTTTAATACATAACAACCTCTTCTATCGTATGTTTGAATTTCCGCTTGACATAATTTTGATTCTAATCCTTGAACAATATTAGCACATTCTTCTTCACCTTTTATTGAACTATTACATTGATAACAGCTTTGATATATAATATTTTTTGTATTACATCCAGATTCATGGCATTTATTACATTCTTTATCACAATCACCTTTATCAAATGTACAATCACGTACAGCTTCATTGGTTTCATTTGAAAAAACTGTCATACAGGTTTCATTTAAAAAATATAAATATTCTAATTTACATTTTTTTATTGTATCATTTTTTTGATGCCATGCACATTCATTTGACATACCACATATACTACAAGATAATTTTGGTTTTTGATAAAGTGATAAAGAATTACAACCATTTTCATTATTACAAATACGACATGTATCTGGTGATTCTTTACATTTTTCATATTCTTTAATATCAGATATACAACCACGTTTCATACCACCTTCTGAATATAAAAAACATTTATCATTTTTTTTATATAATAAACATGGTTTCATTTTATCAATTTCTTGTAATATATCACAATTATTTTCTTCTGAATTTGATGAACATTGATGACAATGAAGACGATCTTTTGGAAATATATTTTGATTGCATAGATTTTCTGAACAAATATAGCATAAATCTGGATTACTTGCTTTACATTTATAATCATTTGGAATACATTTTCGTTCAGTTTTACTTTCAGAATTAATTTGAATTAAACATTTATCAGTTTCCGTATTACAAATCTCTTTATTAATTTCATTTTGAGAATACCATTGTACACAATTTAAATCTTTTGAATCTGATATACATGAATAACATTGTGGCCAAACTTTATGATTACAATTTTTCTCTGTATTACATAATATACACGTTGATCCATTTATACAAAGTTTACGATCAGTATCATTTAAATCATCAAAGCAGCCTCGTATTAATTCTTTATCTAGAAACAATATATAAGAAATATTATAAATTTTATATAATACATATGTTAATGTATTATTACAGTTAGATATTTGTATACAAATAATAAAATTTATAAATATTTTTCATTTCTAAAAATGTTTGCAGCCGATTTTTTATATATGTACATATATACTTACTAAAATTGCCAGTAAAACATTTTGATGTGCACATTACAGTGGAATGAAGTCCAGCCGGATTTGTTATACATGGTTGATATTCAGTGCTGTTACATTTATGACATGAAATCGAAAAATTTGGTTTCAAATTTTCGTCATTATTAATTGTATTATTAATATTGTTGCTATTGTTATTATTATTATTGGGAATATTATCAGTTTTATTAATTGAATCCGATTCGAAATTCTTTTCCAAAATTAAATTTTCATCATATTGTGTATTACAAAAATCTGTTTGACATATTTGTGTTATATTTTCGAATGGTTGTTGAATTATTTTTGATAAACAATCCCTTATAATATTACCATTATCTGAAATTACAAAATTTTTCTTTTAATTACTTATTGTAAATTATTTAATTATATACAAATTAAGAAATAAAAATTTTGCTATGAATAAATATTTTTGTTTTCAATTAATAATTTTTATCCTGTACATTTTTGTGTACCCAGGGAAGGTTGTAACTTCCGGACAACTTATATAGAGCTGTCAAACTTTCAGAATACTGCACAATCCGATTTTAATTAAATAATTTTTAACAAAGTACAAACAGTGTGTTATTGTTATTACTTCAGTCAATTAAAAATGAAAACTTCAAATTTTTCGTTAGGTATGTGACGTTTGAATGACATTTTGAACAACTATATATTTGTATATGTACGTGAAAAAATTTGGAAAAAATCAAAAAATACTACTGCTGTTCATTTCACTATCATTCGTAAAAAATGTAATTATTTAAATTGAATTAAAAGAAAAATACTTTGGCTCCTATTATCATTGCCACAAAAAAAGTGAATGAAAGAGATCAATTGAATAATTTTTTCTTTCACTGTAATTTTATGCTGTATATAATTAATTTTTTTTTTCAAATGATGACAGCCAACTTTTTTCTACATAAAATTAAAATTCAGAAAGGCAACTTTCTGAAATTAACGGTAATTAATTTTTTAATGATGACGCCATTAAGGAACGATATAGACTCACAAAAATGTGGGTAATAAAAAATAATAACGGCAGGGACGTTCCTTTTCCAAAATATTGAAATATAATTATTATATGTAAGTAATATGAATTTGGTATAGACTTTGTTTTATTTAATTAGCAAACTATTTTGAAATATTTCTTATATAATAATGGAGGGGGTTTCGCCATAAGCCCTAGATATTTTAAACATTCAATTTTTTTTTTCTTGTCATATAATTTTTGCAATATACTTATAATTATATGATAAATTAATTTATAAATATTTAACGCTGTTAAGAACGTACATTATGTACTTGCAATCACTTATAGTTCACTATTAAATGATATCAATGAAGTAAAGTGACTCATACTATTTTTCGTAATCATTAATATATATATACATATATATATGTTGTCCATTTTAAACATATCTTTTATTAATCAATCCAATAATATCAATAAATTATTGAATTATCTTACATGTACTATTGAAATCATACACATAAAATAAATATTACGAAAATTAATTTAATGTGTGAAAATGTACTTATGCATTTTAAGTGAACGAAAAAAATAATTCATAGAATTATTGTGTGTACTCAGAAATTAATAAATTTTGATTTTTTTTTTCTGATAAAATATTTTTTCAAATTTCTCTCTTTTCAATTTCTTATTTTAGTAATTATTTAGTTTTCATTATAAAAAGATGTACTATATTATGTTATAACAGTATAACAGTAACAGTATATTAACTTACCATAATTTACAGCACAATTATCAGAACATTTACAATAATAATTTTCTGATTTTTTTAAATTATTCAAATTATTTTTACAATCTGGTAATTTAATAGTAATACAACAATAACAATTTAATAATATAGTAGAATTTTTATTGCAATCACTTAATAAAATATTATTATTTTCATCAGTTAATATTATATTTGAAAGTGAAATTATAATTATTAAAATAATAAAATTATTACAATATTTTTTCATTGTACGACACGATTATTATTTCTTTTTTTTGCTTTTAAAATATGATTTGATTATATTGATCCTGAGTATATGCAATCCAAATGCTTTGTTAATGTTTGATTTACAAATGAATGTTAACGTAGCTGTTCTATATCAAGCAGCTCATATAAAAATTTTATTAAAAAAAAAAATTGATTGCAAGTTTATTTACACAAGAGAGAAAAAAAAAGAAAAAAAAAACACTTTAGCAATTAAAATATAAAAATTATTATTATCACATAAATTCTTCTATTAAATTTTTATCTATATCTTAATGAGTTACACCAATTTAAAACTTAACATAAAACAATGGAAATAAAATCGTTTAAGTGTATACAGTAAAACAACTCGGATAAGGATGAAGTGCAACTCGGATAAATGTAAAACTCGCCTAAGTAAAATCATAAGAACTATATACAAGTAATATCTACAATAATATCTACAATATCTACAACACAAGTAATATATACAATGTGTTATTCGTATATAGTTCTTATGATTTAGCTCAGGTAAGTGCAATACGGATAAATGCACAATTTCATTGTTATTGTTGTGTTGTTTATCAATAAGTTTATCATCTAAGAGCACAAAAATTTCATCATCAAAAAAAATTTTTTATAAGAAATTTTACTCTTTTAAGTGTAAACCTACACTACAATATGACGTTAATTACAGTAAACTTTTGTGTTATAAAATATAAAAGGGTACAACTGTTTTTTTTTTTTTTAATTTTCTAATCTTCAAATTACATTTACGTGTAATTTGAAGATTAGAAAATTAAAAAAAATCCCTGAGAGTGTACATTTATCCGTGGTTTACTGTATATATATATAAAATAAAATTGCAGAATGTTATGTTAATATAGATAAACTTTTGATTATATATCAAAAATTTAATAAAGTGAAACGATATTTTAATAATGGTAAATCACGTTAAATATTGGTGAGCCTATAAAATTATATTTTGTACTTAAAATACATAATTATAAAATTAAAATGTACGTGCATATAACAATAATTAAAATATTTTATATTAAATTGAATTTTTTATTCTATAATTACGATCGATTGCAATTCTTTATGATTTTAAAAAAAGGTATACGCTTAAAAAAGTAAAGATCTACAGGACACTGTTTCTGATTTTATAAAATCCAAAATGCAATTTTAATTTTCTCGCTTGGTTTTTGTAGTTATTCTGGATGTATGATACATTCATGTTACTTGTATAATTCGCATATAATTATATATAGTTGTATAAAAATGTTGGGAGAATTATCTGAAAGAATAATGAAAATTATAATTTTAAAATTCTTTTATAAATTGGTAGAATTTCTAAAATTTATTAAAAAACATTTTAATGCAAAAACATAAATATTTAAAGTTTAAAAATTTTTGAACTTCCTAAAGAATTTTTTAATTGTTTTAATTGTTATGAATTCAATCTAATTCGAAACAGGGATAAAGATAGGTATTTTATTAAGATTATTTATCCTAAATGTATGCAATAAATTTTGTTGATATAAATTTTTAATTTCACTCTCTATAGCTAGTTTATAATACAATTATTTATAATGGGGAATTTCAGCTCTTTTATGGGAAAATTTTAAAAATTGCTATCAGAAATAAATTAATTAATTTAAAATTAAATTGAAATACTATTTTATGTAGTAGTTATTTGGTTCTAAAATTTAGAATAGTTTAATTGTATAATATAAAAATTTTTACTTAAAGCTTGAATTAGAACTACGAGTATAATATTATTTTGAAAATTATTCTAATAATTACTATAATATTATTTTTTTTTTTTTTTTTCCTTTATTCACTCCTAGAAGGAGCATAGGGCTAGTGCATGATATCACGCACTAGTTTCATAGCGTCATAGAGTTAACTAGGTAGGTGACTAGCCTACCGTAGTTTTATTTTATATTAATTATTTGGATTATTAATATTTACTGTTTATTTTTCTTTAGTTTTTAATATCGAATATTATTAATATTTGAAAATTACTTGTAGAATCTGGTAGAATAGAAAAATTAATTATATGTATGTAATCAATTTGCGTTGATATTATATTATGTAGCCCAAATTACAAAATTTTCTTTTGGCAAAAATTTGCAGAAGTACTAAACTTTGTTTTCATTTAATCAAATTTAAAAGAAAAAATATTTTGTATTAATTAATATATTACTTGTATATACTTATTAAAATTATCTATGAATTGATTTTTTGATAGTCTCTTATTAAAGACGAGTTCCTTTATTATATTTTAACATATCTAATCATTATAAATGACAACAATTATAGATTTCAAAACAGGTATAAATATCGAAAAATTTAACAAAATAAACCTTACTAATAAAATTTTGGCAAATTAATTTGATAAAGGCAACAAAATAGCTAATTAAGTATAAAATATTTCGAAGAAAATTATGATTTTAAACAACAATTTTTATTTAATTTTAATTTTATTGAATGTTTTAATTAATTTTAATTTTGGTAAATTGAAATTTTTCATTATTTTGAGATTTATTTGACTTTAAAACTATATTTTAATTTAAATTGTTTTATAATTAAAATATAGGTAGTGCGCTAACATGCATTAATTGCAATTCTAACGTCTCTTTAAATTGTGCTGAAGAACCTTCAGAAGTTAATAGTATTGAAACATGTGGTACATTACAAGACAGTTGTATAACAGCGATTTGTAAGTTTTTCTTGAACATCTTATTGAGTACAATGATTTTATAATCTGTTTTTATTTTTTTTTATTTATTTTGCAGTATCAAATAATCATACATATCGCGGTTGTAAACCAGCAAATTTAGAATTTCAACAACCATACGAATCGTGTATAACAAATAGTTGTAATAATAAGGAATTTCCATCAAATAGATTAAAATGTATTAAATGTGCTGGGGCAAATTGTGTATTACCTAATATATTAATTAAATCAAAAACATGCATTAAATATAAGCAAAATGATCTTTGCTATACGAGTATAGTAAACAATACTTACGGATATCGTGGATGTGTAAGTGAAATTAATGATACGTCAATAGAAAATATTGAAGTATGCGGAACAAATGGTTGTAATAATGAAACTGGTATAATAGAAATTAAATGTGGCCAATGTGATTCATTAACTCATAAGGATTGTGTAAGATCAGAAATAATTTCTAAGAATATTAGTAATACTGGAGAATGTAAAACGAATATATTACGAGGTCAAAATATTCCTGCATGTTTTACATATCATCGATTGGATCGTGTTATAAGGGATTGTTATATAAATAAAGATAGATATAGAAATCTAGTAGAAGATTTTATAACAACATGTTCTAGTGATTATTGCAATAAAAAATCTTTACCAATATTAAAATGTGTTACATGTGGTGAAAATACTTCCGATCCAGATTGTATATTGAATAAAATTGAAAATTGTAAAAATCAAGAATCTTCTTGTTATTCATGTTCTAATCTTGGTAATCGAAATGATACAAAACGTGGTTGTGGCTCTAATCCATATATAAGTAATTGTTATCAATGTCAGGAGAATGGTTGTAATATAAAAACACCAAAATATTGTTATAAATGCTCTTCACACATTGATCCAAATTGTGCCAATTTAAAAAATGTAACAATTTTACCAAAGGAAATTTGTGAAACATCAGATACAAGTTGTCTTATAGGAATTGATAGTAGTGGATTTACAATAAGACAGTGTGCACCAGCGAATATCAATAAAATGAACTTTAAAGATTTTGAAAAGTGTTCCGGTCAATTATGTAATGACTATGTTTTTCCAATAGATCAGCAGCAATGTTTTATATGTAATGGTACAGATGAATGCAATATCAAACCAAAATTGGAATATCAAAAACCATGCTCCGTTATACGAGAAACAAACAAATGTTATGAATTTAAAAGAAATTCAACAAATAATATTGTAAGAGGTTGCTCCACTGATTCAAATTATAGGGAATGTACTGAATATGGTGAAAATTGTTTAACATGTTTAGGAAGAGCATGTAATAATCGTATAGTAACATTGAAAGAATCGAAACTAAGTTGTAATAAATGTATTAGTAATGTTAATAATAATGGTAATGAAAATGATTGTAGATGGACGCAAAATGAGCATTCAAATTCAACAATTTGTTCTAGTTTTATACCAATTGATAAAGAAGAATTTTGTTATTATGTTTTATATGAAAATAATACACATGCACGTGGTTGTTCTTGGGATGATCAAATATGTACGAATGTAACAAATAATAATTTATGCAAAATGTGTAATGAAAATAATTGCAATAAAGATGTTTTAATTGTTCAACATTGTATTCAAAAAGAAAATGTAACGGATAGTGAAAAGGATTTAGTAAAAGAACCATGTCCTTCTAAAGAGCAATATTTCAATAATCAAGGATGTTACGTTTATCGAAACGGTATTATATTTCAATTATTTATCCATATAATCATAATTTTAATATAATTGTTTTTTTTTTGCCTTAAGTTTTAAAAATTTATTATATATTTCATAGGAACTCAAATAACATGGGGCTGTATAAGTGATATACCTTCAGACCTTTTAACATATTGTAATTTTGAAGAAAGCAAATGTAATCTTTGTAAAGGATCTGATTGTGACCAAATGAAAGCTCCAAATAAATCGACAATATCAACAATTTTTTCAAATTTTCCATTATTTACTATAATAATATTGTCATTTAAAATGTATATGCTTAAATATGGTTTTGTAAATTTTTAATTACAATATTTTGTAGTTTTATGTTTGTTTGGTTTAATGAATCAGTTTTAAAATATTGAATATTATAATAATTTCCAAATTATAAGATTAAATATTTTTAAATATACATTATTATTTTCTTAGTAAAATTATCCCATTCTTGACCATTGAATTTATGCTAGATTGGGAAGAAATTCAAAATTAAATTATTACCAATTAATTAAGATGAAGTGCGACACCTATGATAAATGAAAGAAGCCATACAGTTATGCTGGGTTTTGATGAGCTTCCGAAAAAATCAGGTGCTTCAAACATATTGCAGTTATCGCCTTCACAGTAATTACAGTTCTTATTATCAGCTTTTAAACATTCTTCGAAATCCACATCAGTTAAGTCAAAAGAACAGCCTCTTTCAACAACGTCTTTAGCTGAAAAACAATCAAATATAATTGCATAATTGTAAAACTGAAATAATATAATTATATACGCTTATATTATATTAGTCGCATCACTTGAGGTGATGGGATATTATTGAAAAAATTTTGGTTTCCAGTATGGAATTTTAAATTTTAAAATTGATTTTATTCAGAAAATGACAACATTTTTGAATAACAACCCATCATATGAAGTGATGCGACAAACACAATATGGGTGATAATTTCACTTACAAATAGCTTTAGTGAAACATCCACGTTTTTCGAAATATTGATTAGGATTTTTACAAATTGTTGGTTTAAGTCCTTCTGCTTTCTTCTTACAATTCTCCATTCCTGTAATATTACTTTTGCATTGTACACATGATTGATTTATTGTATTTATATAGTTACACCCTTCGGTATGACAAATTTGACAACCATTTTCATTATTTTTAGTAGAACATAAATTGGGAACATTAAAATCTAAAGAGCAACCTCTTATTGTTTCCCCATTTTCTTTAATATGCGTAAAGCAAGTTTCTTGATTATAAAAATATACATTTTGATTGCATTTAGTAAGTGTATCGTTTTTCTGTTTCCACGCACATGCGCCTTTTGGCGCTTGGGTACTATCACAAGTAAAGCAAGATAATTTGGGTTTTTCAAAAATTTTATGATAATTACATCCTTCAGAATTACATTGAACGCATTTATCCGTTTGATTTTTACATATTTCAAATAAACTAAAATCAGATTTACAGCCGCGAATAATGTTTGTTTGTTTTTCATCAATAAATTCGATACATTCATCATCAGAAGTAAAATTCGTACAAGCTGTTGGAATTCCATTGCTTCTTTGATCACGATTACAAACGTCACTGTCCCGACATTGATAACATTTTAAACGTGTGTCAGGAAATAATCCAGAATTGCATAATGGTCCAGCGCAACTTTTACAAGTATTTACTTCGGTTTCATTACAATATAAATTTTGACTTTTACAACCCCTTACGGTATGCTGATCTGCGGTAATAGCAATTAAACATTCGTCATTGGATGTTTCACAAATTTCATTGACAATACCATTTGAGTTTACCCATTTTGAGCAATTTGGATCAGTTTTTGATGAACAATTATAACATTTTTGTATTTCTCTGTTATTACATCCATCTCCTTGACAAAGATTTGTGTAATTTAAATCAAATGGTGCACCACAATCTCTTTTAATAATACCTTTACTTGGATTAACTATTTTCGTATAACACGAGGATTCTTCTGGACCACAAAGCTTTAATTTTGTATCTACTGGATTATTTTTACAATTTGGATCATCAGATGAATCACAAGCCACACATTTTGTTGCATTTAAACATTTATTATTACATTTGTCACCATCACACGTTAAAAAATGTTCTTTATCATTTGATATATCTGGGCGTAATTTTGTACAACCTCGTTCAACTTTATTTAATCGGTGATATACAAAACAAGTTTCGTTTGGATGGCCAAATAGATATTCTACAGTGCAATTAGATATTAAAGTTTCATCTATAAAACATTTTAAGGGATCTTTGTTAGGAAACAACCGTTTACATCCTGTTTTTTCATCATCGCACTGTGAACATACCCGTTTTTGTATACCATTTTCATTATTACATGCACGGCTTGAACATTCAACTGCATTTGACGATAAGGTTTTATTATCAGATTTACAACCTCTAAGAGCATATGTAGCATTTAAAATGTCGGTATAACAAAAATCTTCTTCCAAAAACGTTACACAAGGCAAAGCTTTATCATTTTGTTCTTGAATGCATTCTTTTCCTTCACATTGAAAACACTTTAGACGTCCGTTTGGAATAATTTTAGAATTACATAAAGTTGAACCACATTCTGTGTAATATTGTCCCCTTGGTATTTCTCCAGAGCAGCCACGATATGTTACTTGTCCGTCTTAAAAAAAAATAGAATTATTAATAAACTTTTTTAAGAACTATTAAAATTTATTTTCGAAATTATTTCATGTATTTTATTATTATGATACAACATAAATAATTGCATTACTTCTAGTCTCATAGAATAAAATTATGATGATTTGAAAAATATTAATTTTTTTTTCGTTTTTTAAAGGTACCCTTTTAATTTTTCTTGTCTGAGCTTTCAAATAGTTCTTACTTTCTTTCGGTAATTAATATTATTAACTTATTGTATTAAATTTAATATTAATTATTGTGTATAAATATTCTCTTATCTTGAAATCTTATCTGTGATGAAAATAAAATAGTAGGATATTATGAACATGTAAATAACAATACCTATATTATATTGTTAGATTTACAAATTTTATTTTTAAGAAAGCACTCTAATTACAAGTGATTTAATGATTAGCTCCTAGCGGTATTCATCAAAGCATTTAAGTTGTAGAGTTCATGAAGCAAATCAGTAATATTATAATACTACAATTACGTTTAAAATAAATTTGTAACACAAAACATAAGAAATATAATAATTTTATAAAATTTGATAAAATTTAATACACGATATTGAGTTCTCTGTCGATGTGTTGTGTTCGGCACTTGAATGATAACAAATCAGTAATATTATATTTTATAAACGATGTTAAAAAAAACTACCTACAATCAAGTTATAATGTATCAAGATAATAGTGATTAATGTTATTTATTAAAGAATATTTATTTCGAATTTAAGAGCGTTTGTTTTTAGATGCAAGTTATTCTATGATAATTTGTTCTGATAATTGCATATAAATTGAAAAATATAAAGTCAAATAAGACAAGTAACTCAAATTGAAATAAGATAAGTTGTTCAACATTGTTTACTATTCCAAAAAGTGATTTTACCTACTGACATTGCACATAAATGTGTGCATGTTTTTATTTCTTCAGAGTTTTCTGGATCTAAAACGCAATTCCTTTCTTTTGTTGAGTCGCATTGAAAACATTTTAGAGAATTGACATAATCTGAAATAAAAAGAAATTATTTGATTATTTACGGAAAATAATGAATTCTTTCAAGTTTTATATTATACATACCAAATAATATCGATAAGATAATCAATGATAAAATAAATCCGTTTGAATTAAATTTCATTTTTATGTATAGATACGGTTTTGTTTTAATTTTTAACCAGTTTAAATTTTTCCTTTTGTAATGTTTTCATTCAAAATTTTAAAAATGTACTGGCTTTTAAAAATCTTGTTAGTATAATTATAAATTAATTGATCCATATAAAATATATAATGCAATAGAATTCTTACTCCTGAATTAAATTAGTAAAACATTATTTGTTTTCTTATCAAAGCTTAAATAATAATTTATCAATGATTGTGATGATAAAATATAGCATTAATAAAAATTTTTAAATATGTATTAATTTGAAATATTTTATAACCATTTCTTATAAACAAATCAATTAAAAGAAATGTGTAGGTATATATTTTTGTAATATCATTAGGCCATAAATAATTTTGAATAAAAAAATAATAAAGTTCCGCTTAATGCCCAAAGTGCTTCCGTCATATTAAAAGGTTTACCATCTGTAGCAATCTCCATCTATTGTTTCTCTTTTTTTTTTAAAATCAATAATAATTTGCGTGAAAAGAGGAAAACTTGTTCTTTAAAGAGTTAAGTAATGAAATATTCTGTTAAAAGAAACTGGTTAAATAACATGATTTACTTGAATTAAAAAAATGTTATTGCGCAAATTTTACATTTTATTGTGTCCTATAATTTTCATAAGGTTAACATTGCAATTTCATAATTACATGAATTGTATGCACACTTTTTAACATTAGCTGTCAAAGTTTTATTATCGGATATACATCCTCTGATGGCATATTCCTTGTTTATTATATCAGTGAAACATGTATCTTCTTCTAAGAATCTTACACATGGTTTAGATTTGGCTTTTTGTTCTTGGATACATTCTTTTCCATCACATTGAAAACATTTTAGGCGACCTGGTGGCCAAATTTTGTCATTGCACAAATCCTTATCACATTCACGATAATATTCGCCTTTATGTATTTCATCTGAGCATCCACGATATGTTATTAGTCCAACTAAAAGAAAATGAAGTTTTTAATATATTGAATAATGCTAAAAATTGAAGTTTTCAATATATCATGGTAGGTAATGTTAACTTGAAAAAAACTTAATCTTAACAAATTTTGTCTTACCTACAGACATAGCACATTTGCTTAATAAAGATTCACATGCTGCGAATTTTAAGTCAGGATGTTCTGGGTCAATAGCACAATTTTCATCTCTTGTTGAATCACATTTAAAACAACGTAAAGCACTAATTTCTAAAAATAATAAATAATAAATATTTTTATCTTAATATTATATTTTACCGTTAAGCATTGATATTATAATCAACAAAAATATCAGTCTATTAAAATTATACTTCATATCGATTATTATTAAAAATTTATAGTATAACTTTCAACTTTTCAAGTGAGACTGAACAGCAATAGTATAATTACTATATTGAATTCATACTAATTTTTTCTATTTGTATAGGTAGGAACTTATTAAAATCTTATATTAGTACAGTGTCAATTAAAGTGGGGTTAACTAATAATTATTGATAAGATTTTTTCCTAGGTTTATTTTAGAATTTTTGAAATGGAATGTTTGTATGTTTACATATAGTATTTTTTATATGTGTGTTTACTGCATTGAAACTTTCGAAAAATTGCTATTAAAATATAGGTATATCAATTATGTGTTAGTATAGTCCATGTAAAATGTTAAATTGAAAATATATTAAATAGTCTGCGCTTCCAGTGAGCTGATTCCTCTCGATTATAAGTTCATAATTATTATAATTAAACAGTATATGTTTATAAAAGCCTAATAATTGTTTTTATCCAATTAAGATTATGAAGTAAATTAAATTTATAATGAAACAAATCTTAATATTTATTTCTATTAATGTACAAATGAATTCAAATTTTATTCACGTTCAACATATTTTTAATAGCACTTTTTCCAAAACTAAAAACTTTAACAGTAAAACAGTGTTTTGCTTGCTATATATTCCACTTGTTCCACAAGCAAAGAAAATGAAACGAATAAATGAAACAAATAAAATTGGAATGAGAAAAGTATGTTTGACTTTGACATATAATGACATTACAAAATATGTTGACATTTTTGGTACTGGAATTGTTGTTGTTTTTTTGCATTTTAATAAAAGGATTTTGTTCGCTCTATATTCCAAAATTAATAATGAACATTTAAAAAACATGGTACGAAAATTCTGTAATAAAACATTATTATGCATTGGATTTATTTCATTGATTCATGCAGCATTTTCGGCGGCACAACGTAAGTCGAAATTTTCTGTTGGTATAAAATATATGTAATTAATTTACATTATTGCAGATCGCTCATATCTTCGCATAACGGAACAGGATTCAAGGGCACTTCCATTAGATGTGAGAAAAATTTTTTCTTTTGATTGAAATGCAAATATCAATTTATAAAAATATATTTTTCTAGATAATAATTCAAACATTGGTTAGTTTGGTAGTGATAATTTATAATATTTTGCAAATAGTTGGGGATTTTAAGGAAATTCGGGCTGCTGTAGATCTTCAACAGAAATCTTGGGAAACATTATCAAATATTCCATCATTTTACATGTTTTGTCATCGAGGAAAAGCACTGGCACAAGACTATATACCGCCAAGTGTAAAAAAATCAGAATTAAGTTCGCTTTATTAAGTTCTATAATGTATGTCGATGAATTTTGTTATTAATATACCTTATACATACATACATTACATATATTTTGTGAATATATGCAATTGATGGAATTTATTTATTTTCAGTATGAATAAAATGTAAAATTCTAATAAATTTTAAAACGAATGTAAAACTATGATTATTATTTTTTGTATATCAATAAAGTTAATAGCATCAAAAGTAATAATATGAATATTAAAACACACTTATGTATGTATATTCACATTTACGTGCTTTTGCTCATAGATATCTACAGTAGATTCCATAACAAACGAACTCCTTACTTTTAAGATTACTAATAAGAAAAATGGTTATTTTGGGAACAGTCGCTTTTAAAAACTGTTAGTAAAAAATTCGGTAGCAGTTTATATTTTCTAAATGAGAGTTTTTCTTTGATAATATTAATTCTTCATTTCTTTTAACCAAATTTCTTAATTACGAAATTTACATGCATATATGAGCTTTTGTTTTGAAAAATTGATGTTAAAAAATAAATATTTTTCATAAAGAATTATTTCTACGATGCAAAGGTAAACTGAATCATTTGTAAGGTTTCTGATTGTCATTAACTTACGAAAAGTAGTATTTTGAAGTCTGAGACCACTTTTTACGCAAAAACTATTCCTGTAAATGAGCAATTTTTAGGCAAAAACTATTCAAATAGAAACAGTGCAATCATAATAGAAATTGTTATATACGCATGGGTTGAAAACATAAAAACCTGCAAAAATTAATTTCTTGTTACTCCTTTTCAATTGGGTTTTTAAAAATTCAAGATACTTTGAGGGACCCATGTACATAATACAAGTACGTATGTTTGCAATTCATGGTTTTAGAAACTCCGAAAAGGTTATCAAATGAATACTACATTTTTGACAAGTTAAACTGTCGGGGGGTGTATGGGTAGTATGCGTAATATAATCGATAGGCTGCAGTTATATCGATCCAGCCTCTACTACCTGACATCTGGTTCTACCTACTCGTGGTACCCCCTGTTACGCTGAGCAACCTATTTGAAAGATCCGGTACCCAACCCGGGTGGAGTAAATGGGTCAGCTAACAAACAGAACAGATGGCTTTCCGAGGACTAATTCAGACTGGAAATCGGACAAGTTAAACAATGTAGCGTCTGTCTTAGAATAAGCGGCTACGAACAGCGTCTGTTCCCTTAGAGGGCGGCTGAGATGAAAAGATGGAAAACTACCGCAAACCCTTCAGAAGGCAACGGGAAACCACTGAAGTACAAACTCCCTAGAAAGAAACAATGGAAGAAGAAAACAACCAAAGGCCCTCAGTCTCCGGCAATTCGAGGGTGCTAAGAATCCCCGGAGGTAAAACCAAAAAATATCTAAACATCGGAACATGGAATACAAACAGTCTATACGAAACAGGAAAATTGCTAAACACAACACAAGAAATGAAACGTTTGAACATTGACATTCTCGGCATAAGCGAAACTTGGTTACCAGGCGTAAATGATTTCTTCGTCGACGAAGGATACAAAATATATTGCTCGGGAAACAACACACCAAATCACAGAAACGGTGTTGCAGTTATAATAACGAAGAAAATTGCAAGCAGTGTTGAACAATTCATACCACTTTCAGACAGGGCGCTACTACTAAAAATAAAAGCTAAACCTATTTCTCTGAATATTATTCAAGTATACGCACCAACAGCAGATAAAAGTGATGAAATAATTGAAAATTTCTACAGTGAGCTTTCCGAATTGACAAAACTTACTAGGCCTCATGAAATGAATATCATCATGGGAGATTTCAATGCAAAAATCGGGTTGGGAAGAGTGGACAACATAGTTGGCCCGTTTGCATTAGGAAATAGGAATGATAGAGGTGATCGTCTAATCCAATTTTGTCAAGAAGAGAGTCTTACAGTAACTAACACCTGGTTTTCTTTACCACCTAGAAGACTCTACACCTGGAAGTCTCCCCAAGACACAGATGGAAATATAGTACGCAACCAGATTGATTTCATACTCATTAACAGAAGATTCCATACATCAGTTTCCAAAGTTCGCACGTGTCCAGGAGCTGATGTACCATCAAATCACAACCTCCTTCTGTCCAAAATTAAAATCAAATTATCTAAATCGCAAAGCCAACACAGACCAAAGCGACTGAACCTAGATAAACTTGAAGATAGTGAGTTCAAATCAAGACTAACTGCGGAGATAAATACCAACCTCAGATCTCTCGATAGAAATGATAATCTTGAATTAGAATGGAATCAAATGAAAAATACTTTAAACACTGTTGCTAAAAGAAATTTGGGCCCGAAAAATTTTACTCCAAAAAAAAAGTGGATGACCGAAGAAATAATAAATTTGATGGCACAGAGAAGGAAACATCGAAACAAAAGCGATCAGGAATACAAACGAATACAACGTCTCATAAGATCGAAAATAAGACAAGAAAAAAGTAAATGGCTTACTAAAGAATGCGAGGAAATAGAAAAACTAGACCGCGCTTACGATATGTTTGCCCTGCATAAAAAACTAAAAGAAACGGCGGGAGTACACCGTAAACAAAAATCCTTTATCTTACTTAACGAAGATAAAGAAATAGTGGCTGACTCCAGCGAAAAGAAAAAAATCTGGCAAACATATATTGGGGAGCTTTTCTCAGATTCTACCAGATCAGCAGAATGTTTCGTTGTTCCCTCTTCGCCACGACAATTAACTGGTCCTCCAATCACCAGAGATGAAATCACTAGAGCCATACAGTTGTCAAAAAATAATAAGGCTGTTGGACCTGACGAAATACCATCTGAAGTTATAAAATTAATAGACGAAGATAATTTGTTTCTACTTGAAAATATTTTCAACAAGATTTATAACACAGGCGTATACCCCAAAGATTTTCTAAAATCCACTTTTATCGCTATGCCCAAGAAAAACAACGCACGTCAATGCAAAGATCACCGACTTATAAGCCTTATGAGCCATGCCTTGAAAATTTTTCTCAAAATTTTACATAATCGTCTATATAGAAAATGCGAAACTAACATGGGACGAGAGCAATTCGGTTTCAAGAACGGAATGGGAACAAGGGAAGCGCTATTTTGCACACAAGTTCTTGTTCAAAATTGCCGAGATGTAAAAAAGGATGTCTTTTTGTGCTTCATTGATTACGAAAAAGCATTCGATCGAGTACAACACGACAAATTGATAAGAATACTAAGCACTATGGATATAGATGAGAAAGATATTCGATGCATTATTAATCTCTACTGGTATCAAACTGCAACAATTCAGCTGAGAGAAGGAGATACTAACGATGTGAAAATTTGCAGAGGTGTGCGGCAAGGGTGTATACTCTCACCATTATTGTTCAACATATATGCCGAATCAATATTTCAAGAAGCCTTGGCCGATCTAAACATAGGAGTAAAAATAAATGGCACATTCATCAATAACATCCGATACGCCGATGATACCACGCTAATAGCTGATAATATATACGACCTGCAACATCTAGTAAATGAGATAAACGCACATAGCAAAACGTATGGTCTGAAAATGAATGCTGAAAAAACTAAATTCATGGTAGTAAGTCGAAATAACCTACCCTATGATGGTGCGACGATACTAATAGATGATTTAGCCATAGAAAGGGTGTCCAGTTTTAAATATCTAGGATGTTGGTTACACCAAAACTGGGACGCAGATATGGAAATAAAATGTCGAATCGAGATGGCTAGGGCAGCATTCGTCAAATATAAAAAGTTATTCACCAACAGGGATATACGACTAAATTTGCGTCTGCGTTTTGTTAGGTGCTATGTATGGTCTATATTATTATATGGCGCAGAAGTATGGTCGCTAAAAACGAAACATATGAATAAATTAGAAGCATTTGAAATGTGGATTTATAGAAGAATCTTAAAAATATCCTGGACACAGCACATTTCGAATGAAGAAGTTCTAAACAGAATTCAGGGAAAACGTGAACTGCTTCTTAAGATAAAACGACAAAAGTCAATTTATTTTGGTCATATTATGCGTGGGAATAAGTATGAATTGCTCCAATTAATTGTACAAGGAAAAATTGAAGGCAGGCGTGGCCTCGGAAGAAAACAGATGTCATGGCTACGAAACATTCGAAATTGGACAGGTATAAGAAACATTGGAGAATTGGTTCACGTAGCAGCAAACAGAAATCAATATGCAGATATAATCAAAAACATTAGTTAGATATAACAAACAAACGGCTATTAAAAAGAAACATTGCTTCACGCTTACATCCAGCAGTGGATTGCAGTAAAAGAAGAAGAAACTGTCACATGTTTTTTTTTCAAAATGGCATCACTGATTACTTAAATAATAATGAAAATTGAAACAAATGTGAATGGAACATCGTTTTGACTTTGACGTTTTTGTGTTTATATTTATGTTTTACGTGGAACTTCAATGGTAAATTCAGATAAATATTAGTTTTGTTCATAAAATTATTTATAAAAGAGCGAAAAGAATTTATTAAAGAAAATTTTTTAAACTTGCAATATCGTAAAGTAGTAAATCCAAGTAAGTATATTTAGAATATTAGCTAAATTTAGATTTAAAAAGAAATGTGCTATCCGAAAGTACCTAATATAATATTACCGGATAATTATTTTACATAGGTTCATACTTATATATACCTACAAACGTTTAATAAATATTTTCACAAGCCAAATATTATCAACAATTAATAAAATATACTTGTTTTATACTTATACAGAAAAATTATTAATTAACCTTTGCGATGACTCAATACAATCCTAATGATTATAATCAATGGGGTCATCAGCCAATGCAAAATGAACAAAGTTTTGGTTTTGAGGTCCCAGATTTCGGTCAGGAATTGTAAGTTTTTCAAAATCAATGCTTTTTAATTTAAAAAGCAAAATATGTTAATTTTTGTTTTAGAAATTTTCAATCATTTGATAATACTCAAACAACTGCACCACCAAATTATAATGGTAATTATAATATTCCCGGACAATCGCCTATGAGCACATTTTATGATCCAAATGCTTATGTGACAAACGATAGATATACTGCTGGTGCTGGTGGAGGTACAGAATTCGATGATGAACCACCTCTTTTGGAAGGTTACTATCATATTTTTTTTTTTTTGGGAATTATTTTTTATTTAAAAAATTGTTTGTATTTGGTTTTAGAATTGGGTATTAATCCTAACCATATCTTCCAAAAGGTAAGTAATTTTATACATCCTTACACTATTTAAATAATTTTTAGGATATAAGAGGTGTGAATGATTCCTTTGATATTGTGTATTTTTATTACAAAACCTTGAAATGAATTTTGTATAAATTTAAAATCTTGAAATAAATTTACATATTTGAGGTTACTACATAATTTAATAATGATTTACCATTGCTACCATTTCCAAGTTAAATATATTAAAATTTAATTAAACGTTACTGTTTCTTGGGATCTGAATGAAACAAGTTGCAAAATATTATGTTTCAACATCTTTTGATTTTGTTAGTTCCAAAGTGTTAACTTAATTAAAACTTGTTTTTTCGCAAATTGTTTCCAGTATCTTAATTTCATTTTTAAACCAGAAAAATATAAAAAAACGAAAAATAAGTTGCATAATACCATTAAAATAAATACCATTATTTTATTCAAATTAAGTGCTCTTTATGCTTTTCTCTTATAATTGTATAAAACGTAAAGGCTTGCTTGAAGTTCAAAAAATTTTTTCATATCAAAAAAGGGGTAGTACCTATCTTTATACATATGTACATATACGTTATGTGTAGAAGCTTCGAATTCGAATAAATGTGTTATAATTTTCAAAAAAGCATTTGCAGCTTGAAATAACAAAGATTAGACTACAATAACTCTTAACTCTTGCAATTGAAACTTGATTTTCAACACATATTTAAATTAAAGTAAAAGAAAATATAAAGTTTTTTTATTTTCTTTTGTGACGCTGACCTATTTTTCTTAAATAATGCTGCTTAACAATTTTTCCGACGTTTTAAATATCACACCGATCTTACAATATTAATTTCAAATGTTAATGTTGGTTAGTCTTCTAGGATATTTATCACATTTTTTTATTTTTTCATTTACTTTTTTTAAAATTTACTTTTGTAAATTTCTTTTCTTTAGAAAAAAAAATTAAATGAAAATAAACGGAATATATATATATATATATATATATATATATATATTTATTTATTATTTTTGTTCCTTTCGCCAGCATTTTATATTCCAAGAAATCTTTGTAAACGTCTTTCTGCAGATTACATTTTATTATTTTATACTACGATTGTAGTTCTATTATGTAGGTACATATATTGTATAGTTGTTATGAAGAAGACGGTAATATTCTCATTTAAAACATTGAATCGATGAAATATTTGTATTGGATCAAATTTTTTGGTCGTCTGTTGTGCTCACAAATTTAGAAATTATAATAAATTTTATTATTCATTTTGTAATTAAGAGTTTTTTTATATGTACATATACAGATATTTAAATACTGTTTAATATATTTATAAATATCTATATATGAACAAAATATCGATAAAAAAATTTTGTTTATAGTAAAAAATCAGGTGTAATATTGTCATTTAAAATATAAATTATAAATTATAATAACATTGAAATGAATGAAAATGGAACATCGTTTGGACTGACATTTTCGTATATTCATATTGTACAGATATAAATGTATGTATGTATTTATTTTTTATTAACTGAATAACCTAAAAGATGATCCACGTGAACACGAAGCCGATCAATAATCGCAGTATCAGATCAAAAATCATCAAAGATTTATAATAAAAAGAAGTATTTGGCAAACTTGGGTTCGAAGAAAAGATAAGTCATTTGAAGATAAGCCAACACGCTCACAAGGACTCCATCCCAGTAAGACACAAATGGAGTTAAAAAACAATCCGCTGTATCATAAGACTTTCAAGTCAGTTTTTAATCCCATAGCAGAAGAAGTTAATCATTATACTGGATTCGATGGAATAAATAAACTTATAGATGAGAGTTATGTAAACATTTGCATTCGATCAAAAAACTTTAAGGACAGCATCTCCCACAGTATGTATTCTTATTACATAGCTGTTATTACTTGGGCTCGTGCTCTTACGGTTATGAGGCAGAACAGGTATAAAGTAACGTTTGAAGAAATGGAGATTATTAACATGATATACGATCAAGGCGAATACAAAATACCTGAGTCCGTTTCATTATACCTGTCAGGAATTGGAAATGCAGTTATACCTTCGAGTGTTGAAACTAAATTTAAGCTAAAAAATTATGCTTTAGATTCCGAAACAGGATATTTTGTGAATTATGATACTGAACTTTATCTACCAGTTTCCTATCCGTGTATCAGTACTTACGCCCAACGTATATGCGAAGATTTACAATTTACGGTTGATAACCAAAGAGATCCAGCATGGCAGCCGAACTCATTAGAGTATGTATGGCTAGATAACACTTTAGGATATAGAAAAGCTACGGCTTTACATCCTCGAGCTGAGCAAATTCTAAGACGGTTAGGTATTACAGAAAATTTTGATGATTTCCCCTCTTCAGCAGAAGTATACAAAATCGCCACGACATTAATGAACGTAGTAGAAATCTATTTAAAAGGAGTACCTTCACTAAAACTGTTAAGCATTCCGAATACGGTTAACGGATCGATTGGTCAATTTATTTCGGATACACCAGTTCATGCCAATCAGACTGAGCTATTATTTAGAGCATCAGCACCATTAGAAATTACTGGTTCAATTGGTTATTTAGGCGCCACTTTTATGTACAAAGTCAAAAAGAATGTATCTTCGGTACTGGCTAAAGAACTTATGCCGTACAAGATTACGGCACCAACTTCAGATCAAATATGCAGTTTAAATAATTTACAAATGGGCTGGAAACCTACACTTGATCTAGAGTACTACCAGAGTACGATATTTAACATAAGGCTACGTTACAAGAAAATATGTGATTTTGATTTTAAAGCAACGGTATAAGGCGTCAAGTGGCGCTGGTTAATTAGAGGAATCAAATTTTCCTTTGTTAATGCTTGCTTTAGAATCAAATTAACAACGAAATATTCAATTAAATTGTGCTTTTTACAAACCATTTTCATATATATTAACTATTTCCATATCATTTTTCCTTTTTTGCATATTTTCTTAAAATATCTTAGTTTAATTAGCAATAAAAAGATGAAAAAACAAAAAGAAAATTTTCTGAATTTTTAAGAAAAGAAATGAATTAAAAGTACAAGAAAAAAGAATGAAAAGGAAAGGGTGGAAATAAGTGTAAAAAGACGGAAAATTAAAAAATGATAATGGGAAAAGCGTTTTAAATGCAATTTTCTTTTGATAGCTTTTGATTATACACCATAATGTACCCTAAACACATATATGTAATAAATATGGGTATAAACGTTTTATATTATTATACCCATATGAACGTATGTTCGTAGGGTATCCTAAATTTACCTTACCGTTTGTAACGCTAAGAAATAACGTTTTGAGATATAGACTTAAGGGTATGTTTTTGATCAGCGTCAAAATTCTGAGTCGATTTAGCTTTATCTCTCCGCCTGTCCGTCCCAATGATAACACAAAAACTAATTGAGCTAGGGTCACCAAATTTTCACAAATGATTCATTATAGTATATGCCAAAACCCTATTTAAATTGGATATGATTGATATATTGTTTCGGGTAGCTGCCATACAATTTCAAAATTTATTTGGCTATATCTCAGAAACTTTAAAAGCTATGGTATTGAAATTTCACGCAAACGAATATATTAGTAGAGCCAATGTGATGGATAAGTGTCGCTGAAATTGCTTGTTTTATTCTAGTAACTTCCATACAACTTCAAAAATTATTGGACTATATATCAGAAACTATAAAAGCTGTGATATTGAAATTTTACATAAATGAATATATTGGTAGGGCTAATGTGTTTGATAAAAGTTGTTAAAATTGCTTGGCTCTTTCTGATAGCATCCATACAACTTCGATAGTAGTTTGGTCATATCGTAGAAAATATTGAAAACACAGTGCTGAAATTTTGCATAAATTTACATGGTAATACAACAAATTAAAGTCATAGTCTGTCTCATATTCAGCTATGGTCTATTTATTCGCATATAGGATAATAAATTCGTACGGCTATCACAGAGTTGATACGGTCAACTCTATTTTTTCTCGTTTTTTCTTAATTAGAAAAGTACAATGGTAATTATTATTGCTGCATTTGTTTTGTATAGAAAATTTTTATTTTATTTGAAGAACTTTACTTTCTGTTTTTGCTGCTTTGATTTCTTGAAAATTAAGATTTTTTTTTTTTAATGAAGGACGACTTCTTATATTTTCTTCCTATATTTTTTATATATATATTTTTGCATGTTTATAAAAAGTACTAAAATTTTCAAAAACTCTGTTTTTGTAAGATTACCTTATACTTTTTTTTTCTTGTTATTTTCTTTAAGAAACACAAATTTCTCTTATCGTTATAACTATATTATTAGTATTATAATATAACAATATAAAAGGAAATAGTAAAGAAAAATCAAGAGTAAAGAATAGAATTTTACGAGGTCAACTATATTTTAATAACGTTATAAAAGAAGAGTAGGATTTTGTTATTTAAAGAAAAATTTTTTTTTTTTCAAAATATAAAATATGTATATGATTATAAATGTTAAATGTGTGTGTATATGGTAAATTGAACTGTAAAATTTTATTTATTCACTTTAATTAATATGATTTCAATAATATTTTTAAAATGAAATTATAAAGTAAATCATGAATAAGATATTTATTAAAATTTTTTTTTTTATTCTATTTAAAAATAATTATGTTAAATATGAGTGTGAATCTTAAGTATTTGATTAAGTAATTACATTTTATAATGTATTGAATTTGAAAATATTTTTAAGATATTTTATTTCAATTATGTATGAATTGAGAAAATTTCAAAGTACATATTTAAAGTACATATTTAAAATTTTAAAAATATTATTAGTTATTCTTTGGTTTTTTTCATCAGTTTGGTAACTCAATTTAATATATTTGAATATATTTTTGTTTGAAAGTTTAATTTGAATTAAAATTTGTTGCTAATTCAATTCAAATTAGAATTTGAAAAAATTTACTTATACAAATCATTTTACGAAATTCAACATATAGAAATTATA